TTGTCTGTAGTTGCATCTTTCTACTGGTGAAATACTTTTTATATTCAGATGCTTTTTGAGGGGTGTGCGGTGCCTTGCTTAAGGCCGCCTCAGGGCCCCGGGGGTGGACTGGGACCTCTCCAAGTACCGGTCCACATATTGAGGTGAGTTCGGGGACTTGAACCAGCGACCCTACGGTTCCCAGTCCAAGCCCCAACAGACTGAGCCACTGCCGGACGTAAGTAATATAATTAGCTACATTTATTTTAAGTATTACATCTAAAAGAACCCAATGCAGAAAAGTCTAAAACAAATGTAAAAGAAGTACACAAAAAATCTAAATATTACTTGTAATTATTTAACCTTTATTTAACCAGGAGAAGACGTCTTTTAATTCCCTTTACAGTTGGATAATAGATTATTTGACTAAGCTGTTCTAGTACAAACCATTAGTGAATTTAATATGAACAAAACATCATATTTGATAAACGCTTAAGTTTTAAATGATATGTAAAATATTTCCATTTCAATTGTAGAATAGTATAAGTACCTACATTTTGCAGATTAATGGAATCTAAATGAGTAAATGTACATAGTTACATTGCGCCTTTAAATCCACCTCCCTGCTCAGAAAGACCCTTGAGACGTCTGTCAGTCTGATAAATGATAAATGATGAATTAAACCCTCGTCTTACTGAGAAGTCCTCCAGGTTGATGACGATGGCGAAGGGCATCCCCATGTTGTCGTTAGCCGAAACCACACATCCTCCGAGAGGAATCACTCCCTGACAGAAACACATCAAACTGTCATCCATCACGCTGATTCTGCTTACACACAGGAAGATACTGAATGTACTCTTCCAATCTCAGAGTCCACATGATAACAAAGGTATCCCAACTGTAGCTGTGAACATGACAGGATGTGTGATTACTAGAAGATCATCAGGACTGTTTGAGGCATATGATAGCTATGTGATTAACATGATGATTCAGCCTCTATGGAGAGAGACATCAAGCATGCTCATTTCTGACGTGGAGCTAATCTGAAGTAAACATTGAATACTGCTTTCTATTCCTCCATCTTGTGACTGTGTGACTCCCTCTCTTGGATATCAGCATGTGAAGGACACTGTTCAGGAACTACTTGATGCTCTGTATGTGATGACTACTTCCATTCTGGAGAGGATCACAGATACATGGATCCTGAGGTTGAAGCTCAAGCCGGTGACGAGGGATTATTAACAATTTTAAGTATTCAGAAAAAGTAAGAATTTTGAGGAAAAAGTCTGAATTTTGAGATTTTGAGAAAAAGTCAGGATTTGGAGATTTTGAGAAAAAGTAAGACTTTTGAGAAAAAGTAAGAATTTTAAGAAAAAGTAAGAATTTTGAGATTTGGAGAAAAAGTAAGAATTTTGAGAAAAAGTCAGAATTTTGAGAAAAAGTCAGGATTTTGAGAAAAGTCAGAATTTTGAGATTTTGAGAAAAAGTCAGAATTTTGAGAAAAAAGTCAGTATTTAGTTTGACAGGATGTATGATTACTTAGAAGAACCGGTATTCCTCCATCTTGTGACTGTGTAACTCCCTCTCTTGGATATCAGCATGTTCAGGAACTAGTTGATGCTCTGTGATGACTACTTCCTTTCGGGAGAGGATCACAGATACATGGATCCTGAGATTGAAGCTCAAGCCGGGGACCAGTGATATTTTTCTAACAACAGGTCAAATCCTTCTGTTTATGAAGCATGGCGTAAACACATGGTTCTCCACCCTAATCCTCCCAGATGTTCCTGCAGGAGTTCAGAGAGGATCTCACCTTCGGGTGGATGTTGAAGATCCTGTTGCTCTCGAAGCTCCTCTTCTCACTCTCTGCGTAGTACAGCAGGAAGCTGTCTTTGATGATGAAGAATCTGTGAAGAAGAGGAAAGTAGAACTCAGAAAACACATCCATCATCCATCCTGTGACGGAGCTGCTTTATAGTCCATGCTTTCATTTTCTAAAACACTTTTTCAAATGTTGCTTTTATTGGATTTTTTATTTTTTATTACGTTGTGTTTTTGTTGTCTGGTTTTCAGTTCATTCCATCCTCTGAGTGTTGAGAGGTTTTTATGTGAAAGCACGTCGTACCTCTGTTTGAAGGTGCTTTATGAACAAAGTGAATTATACACACGCACACACACACACACACACACACACACACACACACACACACACACACACACACACACTTTTACCTTCTGACTTATTTTATTTTATGATTTGAGAATGATGAGAAAAAACAAACATTACCTACTGTATATATTTGTTTCAGAATCCTGTTAGTTTTTATAATATAACCCAACTTTTCTCTTAGTGACCCTTGAGATTTCTCTTGTCATTAACCCCCGAAATAGACAGAATAATCAGTATTTTGAGATGTATTCATGCAAAAATGTCAGAAAAGGCCGTTTTCAGTCTCTAAAATATGGAGATTTTCACAGAAAGTTAGCTGTAATGGTTTCTCTGGATCCAGAGTGTATTTTCGTTGTATGCGTTATGTAAACTAAGAGCATTATGGTGACATAAGGTTGCAATCCAGCCAACTACACACACACACACACAAAAACATCCGCATAATTCTCTATAACTTACAGGAAAAGGTACCATAGATGTTTTCAACTGTTTCATAAATGATATGTGATAGTTCTGGCTCTCAAAACAGCACACAGATATGATATTTATGCAAACAAAATGTGTTAATCATCTAAGGATAATCAGCCTTTCTGTTTTGCTGAAGGAAAACTTTCTCCCCACTTTTAAAAATGATAAAAGCAGACTTCCTTTAAACTCTGTTTCTCCCAACTAAAAATAAAATCTAAAAATATGTACTTTTCCTGTAGATTTGAGTTCCTGCACTGATGAGGGTTGTTTAAGCCGCACAGAGGCAAGAGTCCCCCCTCCATGCAGTGAACAGTCATTACCTGTGAGCTTAACCCAGATAAATAGTTTTTACATTTAAAATAGGATAGCATTTAATACTTGAGGTGTCAAAACACTCAGCCTTTTAGTATGAGACAGAAGTTGTGTAAAGGCCAACTTTAATAATAATAATAATAATAACTAGCCTACATTTTTATTAGAGCGCTTTTCCATGTGCTCAAAGCGCTTTACAATTACACAACTTGAACCGTTTATTTTTTTAATTAACACTATAGATTCTCTATGAATAATAAGCTGCTCTACTCTCTCTGAGTTTAGACTCATGAATCCCCCCTCAGGTGCATCGCCCCTCACCTGCGGGACCACTTTGCAGACGGCCGTCCGAAGGGTCTCTTCCACAGCACGCCGTGCAGCTGCACCTTGGTGCTGATGTCCAGCGCCTCGCTGTCCGACTGCTCCATGGACGACCAGGGCGAGAACAGAGAGCTTCTGGACGAGGACGAGAACATCCTCACCCGGAGAGGAGGGGCCCAACAACAACAACAACAACAACAACAACAACAAAGAGTCAATAACAATTACTCACACAATGCATCGAGGTGCAGCAGCAGAGGAATACCGATAACTCAGCAGGGTGGAATAATGCAGCTGCCAATAAGAGCTGCAGGCGGAGAGGACGAGTGAGGGGACAGAGGGAGAGCTTTAGGAATCTGAAGCCGCTCAATGTCCATGGAAGCCGGTAAAAGCTGTTGTTCAGATTACGGCGGCTGCCAGGTACAGAGAGCCAGAAACATGTGGGCGGGGCTGCAGGGGAAAGAGGATGGAGAGCGCGTTAGCGGCTCAGAGTATCAGATTAATTCACACAACAGGTTGTCAGAGTGGACGGACTGCAGATTACAGAGATATCACAGCTCAGTTTCCACAGAGAAGAGCATGAGCGGGAAAACATTCTGTCATCGGCAGAAAAGCCTCTTAAACATTTCAATTAAGAGGAAAAACAGAAAAAATATGAGCAAAGCTAACACAAGTGATGAATAAACTGTTAGCTTGATGAATAACAACTTCATACATGCATTTAAAGAGGCCATATTGTGCTTCCCTGTAGTATATTTTAAAGGTTTTAGTGCATGTAAATGGTCTGCAGAGGCTAAATACACCTGAACATCAGCAGACGAGGACTCTTTAAAGTAGAGACACTGCATACTAATATACACCTGAACATCAGCAGGAGAGGACTCTTTAAAGTAGAGACACTACATACTGATATACACCTGAGCATCAGCAGGAGAGGACTCTTTAAAGTAGAGACACTACACACTGATATACACCTGAACATCAGCAGGAGAGGACTCTTTAAAGTAGAGACACTACACACTGATATACACCTGAACATCAGCAGGAGAGGACTCTTTAAAGTAGAGACACTACACACTAATATACACCTGAACATCAGCAGGAGAGGACTCTTTAAAGTAGAGACACTACATACTGATATACACCTGAACATCAGCAGGAGAGGACTCTTTAAAGTAGAGACACTACATACTGATATACACCTGAACATCAGCAGGAGAGGACTCTTTAAAGTAGAGACACTACATACTGATATACACCTGAACATCAGCAGGAGAGGACTCTTTAAAGTAGAGACACTACATACTGATATACACCTGAGCATCAGCAGGAGAGGACTCTTTAAAGTAGAGACACTACACACTGATATACACCTGAACATCAGCAGGAGAGGACTCTTTAAAGTAGAGACACTACACACTGATATACACCTGGACATCAGCAGGAGAGAACTCTTTAAAGTAGAGACACTACATACTGATATACACCTGAACATCAGCAGGAGAGGACTCTTTAAAGTAGAGACACTACATACTGATATACACCTGAACATCAGCAGGAGAGGACTCTTTAAAGTAGAGACACTACATACTGATATACACCTGAACATCAGCAGGAGAGGACTCTTAAAGTAGAGACACTATATACTGATATACACCTGAACATCAGCAGGAGAGGACTCTTTAAAGTAGAGACACTACATACTGATATACACCTGAACATCAGCAGGAGAGGACTCTTTAAAGTAGAGACACTACACACTGATATACACCTGAACATCAGCAGGAGAGGACTCTTTAAAGTAGAGACACTACACACTGATATACACCTGAACATCAGCAGGAGAGGACTCTTTAAAGTAGAGACACTACATACTGATATACACCTGAACATCAGCAGGAGAGCACTCTTTAAAGTAGAGACACTACATACTGATATATACCTGAACATCAGCAAGAGAGGACTCTTTAAATTAGAGACACTACATACTGATATATACCTGAACATCAGCAGGAGAGGACTCTTTAAAGTAGAGACACTACATACTGATATACACCTGAACATCAGCAGGAGAGCACTCTTTAAAGTAGAGACACTACATACTGATATACACCTGAACATCAGCAGAAGAGGACTCTTTAAATTAGAGACACTACATACTGATATACACCTGAACATCAGCAGGAGAGGACTCTTTTAAATTAGAGACACTACATACTGATATACACCTGAACATCAGCAGAAGAGGACTCTTTAAAGTAGAGACACTGCATACTGATATACACCTGAACATCAGCAGAAGAGGACTCTTTAAAGTAGAGACACTACATACTGATATACACCTGAACATCAGCAGAAGAGGACTCTTTAAAGTAGAGACACTACATACTGATATACACCTGAACATCAGCAGGAGAGGACTCTTTAAATTAGAGACACTACATACTGATATACACCTGAACATCAGCAGAAGAGGACTCTTTAAAGTAGAGACACTGCATACTGATATACACCTGAACATCAGCAAGAGAGGACTCTTTAAAGTAGAGACACTACATACTGATATACACCCTGAACATCAGCAGGAGAGGACTCTTTAAGTAGAGACACTACATACTGATATACACCTGAACATCAGCAGGAGAGGACTCTTTAAAGTAGAGACACTACATAATGATATACACCTGAACATCAGCAGAAGAGGACTCTTTAAAGTAGAGACACTACATACTGATATACACCTGAACATCAGCAAGAGAGGACTCTTTAAAGTAGAGACACTACATACTGATATACACCTGAACATCAGCAAGAGAGGACTCTTTAAAGTAGAGACACTACATACTGATATACACCTGAACATCAGCAGGAGAGGACTCTTTAAAGTAGAGACACTACATACTGATATACACCTGAACATCAGCAGGAGAGGACTCTTTAAAGTAGAGTCACTACATACTGATATACACCTGAACATCAGCAGAAATGAATGAAAGGCTTAAACCACAACAGGAAACCTCTTTTTAAACAAAGTTGAATCACAAAGTAAGAAAGCATTTTCACCAGTTTAAAAAACTTTAATTGAGTTGTCATAAAACACATTGCTTTACAACCGACGTTCACAATCAAAAGTTGGAAATAAGGCAGACTCATCCTGGAATGACGGAAGAAAAATACCCCCCCCCTTCACACTGACAATAATACTACAAATATTGAAGACCCTCCTCTCAGCCCCGACATGTGCCACCTGTAAATGTGGAAGTTACATCAAAATGCACCTTCAGATATCTGATGTTTGAACAAGATCTTACTGCTTAATTGTCACCATATCTATATTGATGGAAGATGCTACGTGCACACACGAGGGGAACATCTGTGATTAAATATCTATAATAAGTGATTGCATTTAAACATGATCACACTGACACTACTTGATCCTGATTGGTCGAAAACAACCACTAACTACCCTTGATGGTTTTACTTTGGCTACAACTTTGAAATGTATTTGTGCAAAGACAGAGCTCTTCATTATGTCCCACATTATTCTCCTTAAATCTAATTATAATGGGATCTTTTCGATGCATGTCTGGAGACATCAGTAACTCTGGGCTTATAACAAAACACTTGGAGAAACATATCATCACTGGACAGCAGCATGAGATTTAGATGATATAAAAGGACGTGCCAAACTATCTTCCGATTTCAATAGATGTTATTTTTCAGAACTAGTTCCTTCCTCAGCCCCAAAGGAAGTCATTCAAACCGACATGAAGACACTTTGATGACTTGTATAACTCATTTTCTCCCTGCCAGCCACAGTCGCACTAAAGCTTGATTTATTTAACATCATTATAGATTTAAATATCCGTTTCCTCTCTGCTTTAAAGTGGGCAGTACTCAGGAGGGTAAAGCTCCTAATAAATAAAAGCCAGGCATGGTATTTAGTCATGCATATTTAATCTCATTAAATGACCAAAACCTTTATTTTAAGGAGATTTAAAAGCCAACAGTTCTGCATGTAAAAAGCAGTTTGGTAAACAATGCATTACATACATAGATTTCCAAGATTCATTTACGTTTTTAAGCACTTTTTTTAATGAGAACAATTCTGTAGCTTCTAAAATGTGAATATTTTGGGGATTTCTTCATATTTTACAACAATTTTTCGGATATATTTGACTTGTTTTACTGTTGGATGCACAAAGGAAGACGTGTGAAATTGTCTTTGGACTCTTTCACGATGTGGATTAGCCCAATTTAAATAACCATGATCTGCAGCGTTTAACACATTCACCAGAGGACTCGTTTGACTTCATTGCCCGTTTCTGTAAAGATCGGACACAGAAGTGACTGATGGTGTAAAGAGAAGAGGCACATGATGGGGCTGTCCTAAAACCTGCCTGAGTGTAAATCCACACAGGTTGGGGTGCAGTTTCCCTTTTATACACACACACTCAGCATCCCATAATAAAAACTAAAACCCCATGCAGCTGCTGGTCAGCATGCGACCCCCCTCTCTTGGTAAAACCATTAGATTTCTACAGAAAAAGTCAGATTTCAGATTTAAAGCAGTTCCATCTCACACAGGAAGTCATGAAGTTACTCTGTACAGACCACAATGACTTAAATACATTTACATGAGCTGAGCAGGCACAGTGACACAGAAGAAGAAGACCTGTAGAAGCTGTAACTACAGATCAATAATCTGCAAATATTTTCATTATCGATTGATCCTAGGAGTCCTTGTTCATGCCAGTGTCAGAAAAGGCCGCTTTTGCCGCTTAAATGTTCAGATGTCCTTTTTGGGGTTGGACTAAAACACAAGACATTTAAAGACTATGTCCTGCTTCTTATTTGATCTGTATAAATATCTTGAGGTTTTGGAGTAAAAAACAAACGTTTACCGAAAACAATGTCGGAAAATGCAGTTTTTAGCCTCTCAAATACTCAGATTACCTACTTTTTTGTTTTATTTAAATTACATTTTGGTGGTTTTTGATTAGATTAAGACATTAAGAGACTATGTATGACTTTTTCTGGGATATTAATGACAAATGTATTCAATATTCCTCAGATTAATCGATAGTAAAAATGTTGTTAGCAGCAGTTCTAGCCTACATTTGAATGCATCAACCTGTTACTGTTTGAACGTTCACGGTGCGTTCAAGAGCGTCTTTCAAACCCACTAAACAAACCCCTCTGCAGCCGTTTCCACGCTTCTGAGACAGAAGTGACTTTTACTCGATTTCACGAGTATCGTTATTGCTCAGGTGAGATTCACTTCAGACGAACAACCCAATTTAAGAAAGAAAATGTCTCCAGAGAAATGGTCCCTTAATGTTTAAATGCCCTCCAGAGAAGTCCTTCATTCAGAGCTGCGGAAATAATATTAACAATAACCCTCCACCTCTAAATAACTATACAATCAATTACTCTATACACATTAACTGCCCCCCCCCCCCCTCCATCTTCTATTTCTAATTACCCTCCAAGTAAAACAGACCAGGAATAAACACGTCCAGAAAGTGAAGAGACAAAAGTGACAGCTCAGGGTCCATGTTTTTTCGTCTTGCGCAGGATTTAGCAGATACGTCTGAGAAGCTGCGATTTATTAACGAGACACCATCAGTACCCATCATTCCTACAGGATAAAGCGAAATCATAACGAGCGTCTAGCCGGTTATCGTGTCATCCTGCGAGGAATAAACGTAGAGAAAGAAACGATTCTACAAACACGTCTTCACGCTAATATGGCACTTGAAATCAGCTCAAAATCAATCTGGATCGATGCTAAGACATTTACACTCTGTACAATTATATTATAAAAAGGAGAGTTGGCCGTCTTGAGATCATCAAATCTCGCTGTGCAACTGCCATCGAGTGAAACATCGATGTAATGATATCTGGACGAGCGCGATGCAGGACTCCACGATGATGGAAATCAAACCCATCGTCACATGGGAAAAAGACTTCAGGTGGAATAAATGGACACGTAGAGAAGCTGTAAGATGTTTCGTGGTTCAGCTCAGTTTGAGTCACAAAAAAGTCCCGCAGCGAGCTCCAGTCTCAACACATCCTTAAAGTTTGAAGTCTCTGTCTCCCTCTCAAATTCTAATGGTGGTGCCCGACGGAGAGCACCAGAGGGATGAGGCAGCCCAGAACCAGCGCTCCCACCTCCACTTTGCTCAGTCCCTTTCCTCCGTTCCCCCCCGCAGGAGAGTGGCTGTGGCCCCCCCCCCACCTCGGGGAGCACGTGCACGGTGGCCACGTAGAGGAAGGTGCCGGCGGAAAACAACATGGCCACTCCGGTGGCGTTGAAGTCGGACAGCGCCTCCTTACTGCTCTGAGGGGGGGGGAGAGACAAGAGAGCGTGAGGGGAGATGCTTCCTTTTGAATGAAACGTGTAATATCTAAACATCAGAGAAACTTCAAGTTCTTTTATTTTACTAAGAGAGTGATTTACAAGGCAAGTTTATTTATAGAGCACTTTTCAACACAAGGCAATTCAAAGCGCTTTACAAAAATGAAAGACATTACGAGCATACAACACAGTAGAAACATTAAAAAAGCAAAGAATGAATAGCACAGGTACATGAATACAAGTTACAGTGTGAGAAGTGAAGAGTTCAATTAAAAGCAGCGGCAAAAAGAAAAGTCTTCAGCCTGGATTTAAAAGTAGTCAGAGTTGCAGCGGCCTGTACTAGTTCATTTTAAAAGGTCCCCTATTGTACTGTTTTACATCAATATATCACAGGTCTCAGATATATACAGAGCCTGTCTCTGATTGGCTGAAACACCAAACAGATCATTGCAGCATTACCCATAATCCCCTCTGTTTCAGCCCTGTTTCCAAAGTGCTGATTCTCTGTCTGTTACTTCAGATGAAAATAAGGAGCCCCTCCCCACGCCCCTCTGAGAGACATTTGGTTACAAAGAACACAATGGTGCTCTAGGAGGAGATTCAGGTGGTAAGGGGGGGGGGGGTTACCTTGGTTGCTGATTGGCTAATGGTTACACAAGACAAACGTTATGACATCATAAAGTGGCCAAAATCTGATCAGCTCATTTTCAGACAGGTTTTTATAGAAATGGATCAAAAAGAGAGAGAATCTTTGTTCCTGAAACTTTCAGAGTCTCTTTCCACAGAGGGGACACATGTTGATGTAGAAGAGACATGAAGAAGAGGGGACACATGTTGATGTAGAAGAGACATGAAGAAGAGGGGACACATGTTGATGGAGAAGAGACATGAAGAAGAGGGGACACATGTTGATGTAGAAGAGACATGAAGAAGAGGGGACACATGTTGATGTAGAGGAGACATGAAGAAGAGGGGACACATGTTGATGTAGAAGAGACATGAAGAAGAGGGGACACATGTTGATGTAGAAGAGACATGAAGAAGAGGGGACACATGTTGATGAAGAAGAGACATGAAGAAGAGGGGACACATGTTGATGTAGAGAGACATGAAGAAGAGAGGACACATGTTGATGTAGAAGAGACATGAAGAAGAGGGGACACATGTTGATGTAGAAGAGACATGAAGAAGAGGGGACACATGTTGATGTAGAAGAGACATGAAGAAGAGGGGACACATGTTGATGTAGAAGAGACATGAAGAAGAGGGGACACATGTTGATGTAGAAGAGACATGAAGAAGAGGGGACACATGTTGATGTAGAAGAGACATGAAGAAGAGGGGACACATGTTGATGTAGAAGAGACACGAAGAAGAGGGGACACATGTTGATGTAGAAGAGACATGAAGAAGAGGAGACACATGTTGATGTAGAAGAGACATGAAGAAGAGGGGACACATGTTGATGTAGAAGAGACATGAAGAAGAGGGGACACATGTTGATGTAGAAGAGACATGAAGAAGAGGGGACACATGTTGATGTAGAAGAGACATGAAGAAGAGGGGACCACATGTTGATGTAGAAGAGACATGAAGAAGAGGGGACACATGTTGATGTAGAAGAGACATGAAGAAGAGGGGACACATGTTGATGTAGAAGAGACATGGAGAAGAAGGGACACATGTTGATGTAGAAGAGACATGAAGAAGAGGGGACACATGTTGATGTAGAAGAGACATGAAGAAGAGGGGACACATGTTGATGTAGAAGAGACATGGAGAAGAAGGGACACATGTTGATGTAGAAGAGACATGAAGAAGAGGGGACACATGTTGATGTAGAAGAGACATGAAGAAGAGGGGACACATGTTGATGTAGAAGAGACATGAGAAGAGGGGAAACATGTTGATGTAGAAGAGACATGGAGAAGAGGGGACACATGTTGATGTAGAAGAGACATGAAGAAGAGGAGACACATGTTGATGTAGAAGAGACATGGAGAAGAGGGGACACATGTTGATGTAGAAGAGACATGAAGAAGAGGGGACACATGTTGATGTAGAAGAGACATGAAGAAGAGGGGACACATGTTGATGTAGAAGAGACATGAAGAAGAGGGGACACATGTTGATGTAGAAGAGACATGGAGAAGAGGATTTTGCATAATGGGTGAGCTTTAAGTTTTATTTCAGTATTTACCTGGCTGAGGCCCAGGAAGGTGAGCATGGCGAGGACGGGCGCTGCGAGGGAGAAAACCAGCAGATGTCTCCGGATCCGGTTCCTCTCCAGACCGGCATGCATCAGGAACGAGACGAGGCCGAACGCCGCCGGAGCCTGAAGGTACAGAGCAGGAGATTCAACATTTAATATGTACTGCTGCTAAGCACAGTAGCTAGTAGCTACAGTGCAGCTACGGCAATGAAACACTTCAGTCACAGCCGGCTCCTCCAACAGTGCAACATATAGATAGGACATAGAAGTAAGAAAACAGAGATGTGCAACTAAATACAAATGTTGCGGACAAAGTTAAAAGCACACGACGAAAAGTAAACAAACACAGAGTTGGAGAGAAGCCAATGACACAGTGACGGCAGCCATCTTCTCTTTAAGAGCTGCACGTAACGATTAGTCTGCAGATCATACTCTTGATTTGTCAAGTATGAGTAAAAATAAGTTTACGTTACCGATAACTTTTTCTACAACATTCAAACATGGCTTATGTTGTCAGACAAACTGCCTAAAACCTAAACAATATTACATTAACGACACTAAGACAAAGGGAAGCAGCTTATTCCCACAAATGTGACGCTGAAATTAAAATGGATTAAAATGACAAAATATGTTCTTAGTAAAACTTAGTAAACTCACAATGGAATAACTTAGTAAATGAAATCTATGTAACGGAAAAACAACGATGAGAATTAGAAACCAAAAGCATATCTTTGAGGAAAGGTGGGGAAATGGGTCAAGTATAGAACAATATAATTAATGTATACCTGAGTATTAATAATGTATCCATTCTTTTATTTTTAATATTATCATCAATACTATTATTTTATTATTTCTTTTCGGATTTGTCATCTGTTATGTAGTTAATCGATGTACCTAGATGTGTTTATTTAGTTATGTATGCTTTGTGAATATCTTCTTAAAATGCAAATACAATTTTTTAATTAAAATTTTAAAAAAGAACAAAATATGACTGATAATCAAAATACTTGGCAATCATTTAATCTACAACATAAGTCTCAATTACAGGTAAAGTTACACAATGTTGATTTCTTCGTTAACATTAAGCTGTCTTTGGCTCTTTTCTGCTGTAACAAAGTTTCACCTCTGAATACGAATAAATAAATAAAGGTTTTCTGATTGACTGTAGGAAAGTCACCTTGTGCAGCATGATGGCTACGAACACGATGAGCTGGACGCTGGTCTGAGACGTGGAGGCAGCCGCTCCGAGAGCCACTCCGTCAGCTGGAGACACATGGAGGGAATTAAGATTGGGTTATGAGCGTAACAATACATGTGTCCCCTCTTCTTCCTGTCTCTTCTACATCAACATGTGTCCCCCTCTTCTTCATGTCTCTTCTACATCAACATGTGTCCCCTCTTCTTCATGTCTCTTCTACATCAACATGTGTCCCCTCTTCTCCATGTCTCTTCTACATCAACATGTGTCCCCTCTTCCTCATGTCTCTTCTACATCAACATGTGTCCCCTCTTCTCCATGTCTCTTCTACATCAACATGTGTCCCCTCTTCTCATGTCTCTTCTACATCAACATGTGTCCCCTCTTCTTCATGTCTCTTCTACATCAACATGTGTCCCCTCTTCTTCATGTCTCTTCTACATCAACATGTGTCCCCTCTTCTTCATGTCTCTTCTACATCAACATGTGTCCCATCTTCTTCATGTCTCTTCTACATCAACATGTGTCCCCTCTTCTTCATGTCTCCTCTACATCAACATGTGTCCCCTCTTCTTCATGTCTCTTCTACATCAACATGTGTCCCCTCTTCTACATCAACATGTGTCCCCTCTTCTTCATGTCTCCTCTACATCAACATGTGTCCCATCTTCTTCATGTCTCCTCTACATCAACATGTGTCCCCTCTTCTTCATGTCTCTTCTACATCAACATGTGTCCTCTCTTCTTCATGTCTCTTCTACATCAACATGTGTCCCCTCTTCTTCATGTCTCCTCTACATCAACATGTGTCCCCTCTTCTTCATGTCTCTTCTACATCAACATGTGTCCCCTCTTCTTCATGTCTCTTCTACATCAACATGTGTCCCCTCTTCTTCATGTCTCTTCTACATCAACATGTGTCCCCTCTTCTTCATGTCTCCTCTACATCAACATGTGTCCCCTCTTCTTCATGTCTCTTCTACATCAACATGTGTCCCCTCTTCTTCATGTCTCTTCTACATCAACATGTGTCCCCTCTTCTTCATGTCTCTTCTACATCAACATGTGTCCCCTCTTCTTCATGTCTCTTCTACATCAACATGTGTCCCCCTCTTCTTCATGTCTCTTCTACATCAACATGTGTCCCCTCTTCTTCATGTCTCTTCTACATCAACATGTGTCCCCTCTTCTTCATGTCTCTTCTACATTAACATGTGTCCCCTCTTCTACATGTCTCTTCTACATCAACATGTGTCCCCTCTTCTTCATGTCTCTTCTACATCAACATGTGTCCCCTCTTCTACATCAACATGTGTTCCCTCTTCTTCATGTCTCTTCTACATCAACATGTGTCCCCTCTTCTTCATGTCTCTTCTACATCAACATGTGTCCCCTCTTCTTCATGTCTCCTCTACATCAACATGTGTCCCCTCTTCTTCATGTCTCTTCTACATCAACATGTGTCCCCTCTTCTACATCAACATGTGTCCCCTCTTCTTCATGTCTCCTCTACATCAACATGTGTCCCATCTTCTTCATGTCTCCTCTACATCAACATGTGTCCCCTCTTCTTCATGTCTCTTCTACATCAACATGTGTCCCCTCTTCTTCATGTCTCTTCTACATCAACATGTGTCCCCTCTTCTTCATGTCTCTTCTACATCAACATGTGTCCCCTCTTCTTCATGTCTCTTCTACATCAACATGTGTCCCATCTTCTTCATGTCTCCTCTACATCAACATGTGTCCCCTCTTCTTCATGTCTCTTCTACATCAACATGTGTCCTCTCTTCTTCATGTCTCTTCTACATCTACATGTGTCCCCTCTTCTTCATGTCTCTTCTACATCAACATGTGTCCCCTCTTCTTCATGTCTCTTCTACATCAACATGTGTCCCCTCTTCTTCATGTCTCTTCTACATCAACATGTGTCCCCTCTTCTTCATGTCTCTTCTACATCAACATGTGTCCCCTCTTCTTCATGTCTCCTCTACATCAAACATGTGTCCCCTCTTCTTCATGTCTCCTCTACATCAACATGTGTCCCTCTTCTCATGTCTCTTCTACATCAACATGTGTCCCCTCTTCTTCATGTCTCTTCTACATCAACATGTGTCCCGTCTTCTTCATGTCTCTTCTACATCAACATGTGTCCCCTCTTCTTCATGTCTCTTCTTACATCAACAGGTGTGTCCCCTCTTCTTCATGTCTCTTCTACATCAACATGTGTCCCCTCTTCTTCATGTCTCCTCTACATCAACATGTGTCCCCTCTTCTTCATGTCTCTTCTACATCAACATGTGTCCCCTCTTCTTCATGTCTCTTCTACATCAACATGTGTCCCTCTTCTTCATGTCTCTTCTACATCAACATGTGTCCCCTCTTCTCCATGTCTCTTCTACATCAACATTGTGTCCCCTCTTCTTCATGTCTCTTCTACATCAACATGTGTCCTCCTCTTCTCCATGTCTCTTCTACATCAACATGTGTCCCCTCTTCTTCATGTCTCTTCTACATCAACATGTGTCCCCTCTTCTCCATGTCTCTTCTACATCAACATGTGTCCCCTCTTCTTCATGTCTCTTCTACATCAACATGTGTCCCCTCTTCTCCATGTCTCTTCTACATCAACATGTGTCCCCTCTTCTTTCATGTCTCTTCTACATCAACATGTGTCCCCTCTTCTTCATGTCTCTTCTACATCAACATGTGTCCCCTCTTCTCCATGTCTCTTCTACATCAACATGTGTCCTCTCTTCTTCATGTCTCTTCTACATCAACATGTGTCCCCTCTTCTTCAAGTAACAGACAGAGAATCAGCACTTTGGAAACAGGGCTGAAACAGAGGGGATTATGGGTAATGCTGCAATGATCTGTTTGGTGTTTCAGCCAATCAGAGACAGGCTCTGTATATATCTGAGACCTGTAATACATTGATGAAAGACAGTATAATAGGGGACCTTTAAGTAAGTTGCAAATGTAACATTTTGAAAAAGTAAACTGTTACTGCTCAAACTCTGATCACCTTTGCGTTTAGTTTTTCCATATTACAGAAATCTCAAGCACTCCTTAATATGGGATTCACTTATTATTAATAATAGAAAAGTTCATATTTACACATTGAGACACAGCATGTCTGAGTTCAACTACAGTATATTGTATATTTGGCAAAGTAACTCCTGCTAAATGACCCTTCTCTGTTACAGCACCAGCTTGTGATTAAGACTAATGAAGATGCTGTTAACAAAACTAGTATCATCATTTTGGACAATTCATGTTCAAACCCACATTTATAAATGTTCCCATACTCAATCTGATACATGCAATATTCGCCCTTCGAAGAACATATTTACCCTGAGCATGTGATGTTCTTTTAATTCAAAGAAAAACCAGATAACCGTAGTACCTGCAGCGTGGACCACCAGCCCCAAGGTGGTGGTGATCTTTGAGGAGGCCCTCGCTGCCTCTGGATCTAAAGCTGAAAAAACAACAAGTCAGAAGAAATTAGCTATGACAGTCTTATACGTTTAAGAAATACAAATATTAAAAGTAGTACCAAGTGATAATGACAGGGTATGCAGGAATCCTGAAGTCACATGTAAGACCTTTTTTAAGACCCTTTCCATACATTTTAAGACCTCATCGCCACTTTGAGTTTTAACCGGTTACCTTGGCGACACACTTTACCTCACATTGACTATATACAGTATTGATTGTCCTTCCTCCTTATCTTCCAACCATTTGGACGCAGACTTGCATTTCCCCATAACGATGTTGTTTAACAACCGGCGTAAACGGACCTTCGCGCTATCAAGCAGTGAGCGTGCGACGTCCTGTTCAGATGACGTCCAACCCAACGGGATGCCATCAATAAACTACAGAATCACACTACACACCTACGCCATGATTACATTCAGGCAGACTGTAGAATACAACCTCTTTGGACCATTTATATACTTACTGAAAACAAGCTACAAAATGTAATACCTTGGAAAATGCAGTTTAATACTTTTTAATAGCCTTCATTTTCGCTAAATTGATTTATCAACTTTTAATACTTTTTAAGACCCCGCGGACCCCCTGGATAAGGACCCCCTGGATAAGGACCCCCTGGATAAGGACCCCCTGGATAAGGACCCCCTGGATAAGGACACCCTGGATAAGGACACCCTGGATAAGGACCCCCTGGATAAGGACCCCCTGGATAAGGACCCCCTGGATAAGGACACCCTGGATAAGGACCCCCTGGATAAGGACCCCCTGGATAAGGACCCCCTGGATAAGGACCCCCTGGATAAGGACCCCCTGGATAAGGACCCCCTGGATAAGGACCCCCTGGATAAGGACAGAGAAGCATCTCAAGCATCAGCTGCTAAAACAATTGAGATCTCACATTGTTCTGAAAAAAGCCTCGAGAGTGTGGAGAAATGTTTAGACCAAAACACTTTCCTCCGGAGAAGATTAGCCCTTGATGTCGCTCAGGATAACGCTGCTGTCACTATGACTGGGCAGTATATACTGAAATGACATCAAGATCATGATGAGACGAGACTTTGTCTTACATTTTGGACATCGTGTTATAATAAGTGTTTTCCAGGTTTCAAAGGCTGCATCATATCAAAGCGATGTCATTTCCCAAATGTACTCGACTTAGCTGTTCCAACATTAACCGTTATCTCCACATTACTTATGATTACCGTATTGACCCGAGTATAAGACGACCCCTCTTTTTCAAGACCACATTGTTTTCCATCTTACTCCTTTGTGGACCGTGGAATGCTTTTCTCTGACTGTTTACATTTTTAAGACAGTCTTTTTGGGCTTGCCATCTTCTAACGTTACATTACATGTTACACGCTTTGATCCAAAGCGACTCACATGCTCAACACTGTGGGCAATCCCCACAGGAGCAATTTGGGGTGAAGTGTCTCAGGGACACAACGACATGCTGACTGCAGTGGGGTTTGAACCTGTGACCCCCTGATCCGAACACCAACGCACAACCCACTGCACCACACGCCTCCACGTAACACCTTACACTCAGTAACACCATATTTCTTTGCTGCTAGACAAGTTATTCGATGGCTCTGCTTCGTTGATTACCATCATCTTAAAATTGGCCTCGTAACTTCGCCTCTCTTGTTTATTAACTTGCCTACTTTTGATCCACTTTGTTGGAGTTGGTCTCCATCTCTTTCTCTCCTGTTGCTGTGCACTGTTACTTTAAGACGGTGTCTGGCTTGGGGGAACACGATCTGTTGCTGTGAATGTAATTTAGACCCTCCAGAAAAACGCGATTCTGCGAACGCAGAATTTACCGCATAATCAGCAAAATGGCGCAGATTTTTAAAAGGGCGCATAATCCCCGCATTTTTCCACACAACGTTGAGGGGAAAAAAGTTAACTCGTCTTGACGTGAAGTGATGATGATGATGATGATGAAGCGACGTCATCAGCTCGCGCATCACAGAAGGTAAACAACACCGTAGAGTGAACATGTGGAGCTCACACGCGAGAGAAAACACCAAGATGACAAAATCGAATCCATCTCATTTACCGACGAACATTTCTGCTAAAGACCGGGCAAAGCAGAATTCCCCCGATGTCTTGCACGAAAGTGGGGGGAAACTATTCTGTGTTGGAGCATAAGAGAACATCGACGGTGACGACCCACTTTGATTCATTCAAACATTCGAAAATGCTTTCTGCTGCTGCGGACAAGAAAGCCAAACAACTCACGTTCACCGAGGCATCGACCTCCAAAACCCTTTCGAGGGCTACAAGAAACGAGGTGAGAAGCCTACAAGATTGAAGCTGGTCAGATAACGAACGAGTAAATGAATGAATGAGGCGGAGAAGTGTGTGTGTGTGTGTGAGTGTGTGTGTGTGAGTGTGAGAGAGAGTGTGATTAAAATAGCCCTATTGCTTTTACAATAAATAAACATTGAATGTGTTTAATTGAATAGTAAAGGGGTTTAACGTTAGTGGCAGGTTGTGTGTGAGAGAGAATAAATAAGACAGCCCAATATTGAAAAATATATATATTCTTTTTCGCAACTTCCCGCAACTTCACCACATAAAATCACATAAAAACCCCGCATGTTTAATCGCATAATCAAGGATTTTAGCCCGGGTTTTTCTGGAGGGTCTAGTAATTACATCGAAAAGTCTATACCACGAATATAAGACGAGCCCTATTTTTCTAGAAAAAAAAAGACGTCTTATATTCGGGTCAATAGGTATTTAACAAATACCCCATTGCAATCCGAACACGTGTCCCCCACTAGACGAGTGTGTGTGTGTGTTTTACGGTTGTGTTCACTGACCTTCGGTGCTGTGAACGTGCGCGCTGCCGATCTGGTCGACCAGCAGCATGAAGACGAAGCCGAGCACCAGAGAGACTCCGATGCAGGCGTGCAGCTGCTCGTGGCTGTGCTCGTGCTTCCCCCCCCGCACTCACGTCCACTTCCCCCTTCGTCTCCGACACCTCCACAACCCCCGCCTGGCCGTGGCTGTGGTGAGCTCCTGCGGGAAGAATAAGAGACACATGGACAGTTAAAGAAAAACCCTTTAACACATCTGGTTACAGAGAATGCTATAGTGATATTTCTGAAACTATACAACGGAAACTAAATATTCTCAGCAACCTATATTTTTTACTTGATTGAAACAAGACGATAACATTACGTCAACCCATCACATGAAATATCAACATGCAATATTGTTGATGGATAAAACAAGAGAAAAGGGCTGTTAGAAAAGTTCTCTAAATGGCATTTCAATTGTACGACATATTCTGCTGATGTTCAGGTGTATATCAGTATGTAGTGTCTCTACTTTAAAGAGTCCTCTCCTGCTGATGTTCAGGTGTATATCAGTATGTAGTGTCTCTACTTTAAAGAGTCCTCTCCTGCTGATGTTCAGGTGTATATCAGTATGTAGTGTCTCTACTTTAAAGAGTCCTCTCCTGCTGATGTTCAGGTGTATATCAGCATGTAGTGTCTCTACTTTAAAGAGTCCTCTCCTGCTGATGTTCAGGGTGTATATCAGCATGTAGTGTCTCTACTTTAAAGAGTCCTCTCCTGCTGATGTTCCGGTGTATATCAGTATGTAGTGTCTCTACTTTAAAGAGTCCTCTCCTGCTGATGTTCAGGTGTATATCAGTATGTAGTGTCCTCTACTTTAAAGAGTCCTCTCCTGCTGATGTTCAGGTGTATATCAGCATGTAGTGTCTCTACTTTAAAGAGTCCTCTCCTGCTGATGTTCAGGTGTATATCAGCATGTAGTGTCCTCTACTTTAAAGAGTCCTCTCCTGCTGATGTTCAGGGTGTATATCAGTATGTAGTGTCTCTACTTTAAAGAGTCCTCTCCTGCTGATGTTCCGGTGTATATCAGTATGTAGTGTCTCTACTTTAAAAGAGTCCTCTCCTGCTGATGTTCAGGTGTATATCAGTATGTAGTGTCTCTACTTTAAAGAGTCCTCTCCTGCTGATGTTCAGGTGTATATCAGTATGTAGTGTATCTACTTTAAAGAGTCCTCTCCTGCTGATGTTCAGGTGTATATCAGCATGTAGTGTCTCTACTTTAAAGAGTCCTCTCCTGCTGATGTTCAGGTGTATATCAGTATGTAGTGTCTCTACTTTAAAGAGTCCTCTCCTGCTGATGTTCAGGTGTATATCAGCATGTAGTGTCTCTACTTTAAAGAGTCCTCTCCTGCTGATGTTCAGGTGTATATCAGTATGTAGTGTCTCTAATTTAAAGAGTCCTCTCCTGCTGATGGTTCAGGTGTATATCAGTATGTAGTGTCTCTACTTTAAGAGTCCTCTCCTGCTGATGTTCAGGTGTATATCAGTATGTAGTGTCTCTACTTTAAAGAGTCCTCTCCTGCTGATGTTCAGGTGTATATCAGTATGTAGTGTCTCTACTTTAAAGAGTCCTCTCCTGCTGATGTTCAGGTGTATATCAGCATGTAGTGTCTCTACTTTAAAGAGTCCTCTCCTGCTGATGTTCAGGTGTATATCAGTATGTAGTGTCTCTACTTTAAAGAGTCCTCTCCTGCTGATGTTCAGGTGTATATCAGTATGTAGTGTCTCTACTTTAAAGAGTCCTCTCCTGCTGATGTTCAGGTGTATATCAGTATGTAGTGTCCTCTACTTTAAAGAGTCCTCTCCTGCTGATGTTCAGGTGTATATCAGTATGTAGTGTCTCTACTTTAAAGAGTCCTCTCCTGCTGATGTTCAGGTGTATATCCAGTATGTAGTGTCTCTACTTTAAAGAGTCCTCTCCTGCTGATGTTCAGGTGTATATCAGTATGTAGTGTCTCTACTTTAAAGAGTCCCTCTCCTGCTGATGTTCAGGTGTATATCAGTATGTAGTGTCTCTACTTTAAAGAGTCCTCTCCTGCTGATGTTCAGGTGTATATCAGCATGTAGTGTCTCTACTTTAAAGAGTCCTCTCCTGCTGATGTTCAGGTGTATATCAGTATGTAGTGTCTCTACTTTAAAGAGTCCTCTCCTGCTGATGTTCAGGTGTATATCAGTATGTAGTGTCTCTACTTTAAAAGAGTCCTCTCCTGCTGATGTTCAGGTGTATATCAGTATGTAGTGTCTCTACTTTAAAGAGTCCTCTCCTGCTGATGTTCAGGTGTATATCAGTATGTAGTGTCTCTACTTTAAAGAGTCCTCTCCTGCTGATGTTCAGGTGTATATCAGTATGTAGTGTCTCTACTTTAAAGAGTCCTCTCCTGCTGATGTTCAGGTGTATATCAGTATGTAGTGTCTCTACTTTAAAGAGTCCTCTCCTGATGATGTTCAGGTGTATATCAGTATGTAGTGTCTCTACTTTAAAGAGTCTCTCCTGCTGATGTTCAGGTGTATATCAGTATGTAGTGTCTCTACTTTAAAGAGTCCTCTCCTGCTGATGTTCAGGTGTATATCAGTATGTAGTGTATCTACTTTAAAGAGTCCTCTCCTGCTGATGTTCAGGTGTATATCAGTAGGTAGTGTCTCTACTTTAAAGAGTCCTCTCCTGCTGATGTTCAGGTGTATATCAGTATGTAGTGTCTCTACTTTAAAGAGTCCTCTCCTGCTGATGTTCAGGTGTATATCAGTATGTAGTGTATCTACTTTAAAGAGTCCTCTCCTGCTGATGTTCAGGTGTATATCAGTATAGTGTCTCTACTGTGACATGTCCCGCCCCTTAGCCTATCACGTACAATGTGTTGGAGCGCTAGCCAATCGAAGCACTTACTTAGTGTTTTAATTGACTAAGATAGAATTTGAACGCCTCAGAGGTTTGGACTTTGAACTTGAGTGTAAAAACCAGATGAGCGTCACAAACCCACGAAGCTTCTTCAGAGACAATGCAATGCAAATAATTACAGAACAAATATCTGTGTTTGAACCGGGACTGCTACGTAAGAGAAAAAGACGTCATCATGTTTAACTTTACAGCTTTCTGACCTTCGATCAGTTTGCAAAGGATTCGTATAAACAGAATAGTCTATGTTCAGTTTTTAGTTTTGCAGACTCAGAAAAAGGTCTTGATGTTTTTTGCATGCATTATTCAAAGTGTTCTGGCCTTCTTTTAAATAAAACATTGACTAAACAAGTCTGTCTTTCATTGGACTTTAGGTTTAAACACTTTTTCCGCTGCTATGGACAATCAGGCAATAATGTACATTCTCAAATATTGAAGTGACTGTTATTTTGTATATATTGAATGTTGTGTTTTTATTTAGGTCTTAATGTGTGCACATGTACAAATGTGTCTTTGATTCCATGTATATAGGATATACATATTTGCACAGATATTTTTATATACATTTGTTTTTATATTCTGGAGTGTGGGAAACGGTATTTCGATCTCTCTGTCTGTACACACAAACTGGAAGATTGACAATAACGTTGACTTTGACTAAACATAATACAATTCAACAAAGCCTCCATGATGGGGAAACATTTCTGGGTAATCTGTGAGGAAATACAGTCAGGATCCGGTGTGTTTGTTAACTCTACCTTCAAGTATTTCTTCATAAAGCGCGTGGACTCCCTCAGGAATGATGACAGCGAGCGCGGTGCCACACAGCAGCCCGGCGCCCAGCACCGTGACCAGCTTCAGCTTCTCCTGCACACACACACACACACACACACACACAAATATGTCTGTGTTTATACACACCAGATCATCTGATATCTAACAGAGCTCATGATTCAAACCACCAGAAAAGGTCTTTTACTCATAACTATTGCATCGAGAACACATTGTAAACTATGTGCTTTTTTATCAGTTCAAACGTAGAGAAAAGGAAAAAATGCCTTTGTTTTCTGAACCCAAAGCATTCATTATTTTGCAGAAATGCCTGTCTTTTAGCACAAACCTAGGTGCCTTAAATACCATAAACCACATGCACGTGGGAAAACAATAATGATAATAATAATAAAAACAATGCAAGTAAAGCTTGATTTTTGGTTCCTTAATGTATATTTTATGTTTCCTATGTGTACCTTTTAGTTTTTGTACCTGAAAAGACACCAAAATGTGTCCTTTCCAGTTCAAATAAAATACAAAGAATAGTTTTTCAATATAATTCAGCATAAACTTCTTTAAATTCTCAACAATGATTGTGTTTTACAGTCAAACTTAACATGACATTCATCCCCCAAAAGCAGTGATCATTTCAAAGCAGTGTTATCTATCTCCAGACCTATAGATCGTCCTGTTATTTGTTATTCATGATGCAATCAGTGTCTGATGAAAAGACAGACGAAGACAAACACAAAACTGACAGAGATTAACTTGTACCTCTCTGTCAGTGGTGGAAAAAGTACTCAGATCTTTTAAATAAGTTAACAAACAATACGTCATAATTGTCAAAATACTACAATTAAAACCCTAACATATGTAGTGGAGTAGAAGTACAAAGTACCATTCAATGGAAAGTAAAGTACCTCAAAATTGTACTTGAGTAAATCTACTTAGTTACTTTCCACCTCTGCTCTCTGTGAATGTGCAAATGTGGTTAAAGTTATCCCAACAACAAGCTTTTAAGAACCACTTTTTGTAAAGCTTTGTATGCACACTTACCTCTGAGAAGTTGACAGCCAGAGGAATGGTTCCTGCCACATAACATCCCACCAACATGGCGAGAGACAGCAGGCTGATGGAGCTGAAGTCGTCCATTATTACTGCACTTTATGCTAATGCTAGGCTAACCAACAACAACCAACCGCCACCTCTTTAACACTAATAATCCTTACAGTTAAATCACATGCCACGAGATGCAACTGTTGCTTCTCAATAGTGGCTAATTTAATAAACGTCTCTGTAATCTGGACTAAATTCAGATAGCTGCTAAACATACAGGTTTATCTTAAAAGAGACGTTACACTAAGCTAAGCTAACTGTGCTAAGCTAACTAGCCTCCGTATCAACAATTCACAAACTATGAATCCCCGACACGTTCTCGTTCACTTGCAAACATCCGACACTCCGCATAGTGTCCTCCAGATTTAGCTGTCAGTAACAATAAGGTGATAATATTGCAACTTCCTGAATTGTTCAGCAGCTGAAGCTCAGACAGGCTAACAGAACATCCTGTTGTTAGCTGCTGGAAGATCATCCGGGTCACAACGCAACTGCTCAACCTGCCACGTTTCAGCCTCACGGGAGGAAGGCACAGGAGGGCTGATAATCATCATAATGATAATATCAATAACACATTTAATTTACAGGCGCCTTTCAATGCCAATTACACATTTTCAAATATTATTATAATAATAAAAGTGATGGATTTGATACAAATATTTATCTTTTTTAATACAAATATTTTTATTTTTGGGAAAATGTCACATTCACAAGAATAAAATATGAAAAAATAACAAAGGCAATCATACAGGAGAGGAGTAGAGCCACCTGAGGAAATTGTTTTTGGGATGTGATCCAGATTTATTTCCAATTATTTTTTGCTGACAAAATAAATCAGAATTAACATTATTTTTAACTTTTGGTCACATCCCCAGAAAACATGTGGCCCTAATCCTACTTTACTTGAAATGTTACCTTTTGTTTTATCCCTATTTTCTTTATATTTCTTTCTTATTTTCTTTATATATTTTATGTGTAAGGCAAGGCAAGTTTGTTTATATAGCACCTTTCAACACAAGACAATTCAAAGTGCTTTACAAAAATGAAAAACAATAAGAAAATGGAATTTAAATATAGTCATTAAAAAGCAAAGATAATAAAATAAACATTAAAGGTCACCTATTATGCAAAATCCACTTCTCCATGTCTCTTCTACATCAACATGTGTCCCCTCTTCTTCATGTCTCTTCTACATCAACATGTGTCCCCCTCTTCTTCATGTCTCTTCTACATCAACATGTGTCCCCTCTTCTTCATGTCTCTTCTACATCAACATGTGTCCCATCTTCTTCATGTCTCTTCTACATCAACATGTGTCCCCTCTTCTTCATGTCTCTTCTACATCAACATGTGTCCCCTCTTCTTCATGTCTCTTCTCCATCAACATGTGTCCCCTCTTCTTCATGTCTCTTCTACAATCAAACATGTGTCCCCTCTTCTTCATGTCTCTTCTACATCAACATGTGTCCCCGTCTCTTCTTCATCAACATATGTGCCCTCTTCTTCATGTCTCTTCTACATCAACATGTGTCCCCTCTTCTTCATGTCTCTTCTACATCAACATGTGTCCCCTCTTCTTCATGTCTCTTCTACATCAACATGTGTCCCCTCTTCTTCATGTCTCTTCTTCATCAACATATGTGCCCTCTTCTTCATGTCTCTTCTACATCAACATGTGTCCCCTCTTCTTCATGTCTCTTCTACATCAACATGTGTCCCTCTTCTTCATGTCTCTTCTACATCAACATGTGTCCCCGCTTCTTCATGTCTCTTCTTACATCAACATGTGTCCCCTCTTCTTCATGTCATCTTCTACATCAACATGTGTCCCCTCTTCTTCTTGTCTCTTCTACATCAACATGTGTCCCCTCTCTTCATGTCTCTTCTACATCAACATGTGTCCCCTCTTCTTCATGTCTCTTCTACATCAACATGTGTCCCCTCTTCTTCATGTCTCTTCTACATCAACATGTGTCCCCTCCTTCTTCATTGTCTCTTCTACATCAACATGTGTCTCCTCTTCTTCATGTCTCTTCTACATCAACATGTGTCCCCTCTTCTTCATGTCTCTTCTACATCAACATGTGTCCCCTCTTCTTCATGTCTCTTCTACATCACATGTGTCCCCTCTTCTTCATGTCTCCTCTGCATCAACATGTGTCCCCTCTTCTTCATGTCTCTTCTGCATCAACATGTGTCCCTCTTCTTCATGTCTCTTCTACATCACATGTGTCCCCTCTATCATATCTCTGTCATGTCTCTTCTACATCACATGTGTCCCCTCTTCTTCATGTCTCTTCTACAATCAACATGTGTCCCCTCTTCTTCATGTCTCTTCTACATCAACATGTGTCCCCTCTTCTCATGTCTCTCTACATCAACATGTGTCCCTCTCTCATGTCTCCTCTACATCAACATGTGTCCCCTCTGTGGAAAGAAACTCTGAAAGTTTCAGGAACAAAGATTCTCTCTCTTTTTGATCCATTTCTATAAAAACCTGTCTGAAAATGAGCTGATCAGATTTTGGCCACTTTATGTCATAACGATGTTTTGTCTTGTGTAACCATTAGCCAATCAGCAACCAAGGTAACCCCCCCCCCCCCCCCCTTATCACCTGAATCTCCTCCTAGAGCACCATTGAGTTCTTTGTAACCAAATGTCTCTCAGAGGGGCGTGGGGAGGGGCTCCTTATTTTCATCTAAAGTAACAGACAGAGAATCAGCACTTTGGAAACAGGGCTGAAACAGAGGGGATTATGGGTAATGCTGCAATGATCTGGTTGGTGTTTCAGCCAATCAGAGACAGGCTCTGTAGATATCTGAGACCTATAATATATTGATGAAAAACTGTATAATAGGGGACCTTTTAAAAGAAAGAAAAAATACATGAATAAAAGTTACTGTGTGCCTGCCACTAATGTCAATTTTGTATGTGTAGAAAATGTTTAATATATATTCTTGAATAAAGGGAAAAAATGAATAATAATAATAATGTTATTTCTGAAACAAAGCCTTTTAAAAACTTGGACATTTTCCACAATTTTCCCGACAAAATCATCCGTCAAGAAAATAATTGCCAAAATGAAATGATGAAAATAACAATAGTTCCAGCCCTAAATGACGGATCGCTTATCATTGCTCAAAGTCGGATACTGGAGAGCGACTTTTGATATATCGTAATAGAGAAAACTAAAAAGGGAGTAAAAATGTGTTTGTCATGCAAAGCAAAAAGAAAAAGACCAACACTTTCTTAAAAAAAAGCATATTTATTATCAGTTCACACAACGGAGCCTCAACAGGACGACAGTAAATCAAAGCAGAGTCCAATGTGTTGCAGAACCAAGTGTGTGTGTGTGTGTGTGGGGGGGGGGGGGGGTAGCAGCTGTCTCCTGCCTCAAACAGCATCAACAAAGGAACAAAACACAACCAAAGTTTCATCATGCAGTATGTTTGAGCAATCCCTTTCTGTCCACAGCTGACTCTCCCTTCCAAAGACACACACACACACACTCTTACACACACACACACACACACACACAGATAAGGCTGCTCCTTGCTGATGGGATGGAGGGTGTGATGTGTTTACAGTCTGTGGGCAGCAGATCTGGGATTTAAAAAAGGAAGTCGGACGGAGAGACGAGCGGTCTTTATTTCGCGAGTCCGATCTTCTTCGCCTCCGTTTCGTAAATCAACAGCCTCCACATTTTCACTATGAACACTTCCGCCTCTTCATCCAGAACCTGAAAACACACCAGACAGGTTGGGGACACACACTTTACATCCAACAGCTCAATACATACTTGACATTAATCTGACGTGAAAGTTAAATTGATGACTTAGGAGTAACTGTGTGTGAGGCTGCTTTAACCCTGAGATGCACACGTGGGTCTTTTTGGACCCGGTGAGGTGGTTTTCTTGAAGTATCTTACATTTTTTTATCATTTGATATTCCAGCTATTCCTCAAAAAACATGTTTTGGATATCAGGCCATTCACATTTTAAGAAATTGTAGTTTTTATATTTCTACCCCAAGCTTCCATAAGTGGGTCAAAAATGACCCGCATGCATTTCCTATGGGATCCTCTGGGAACCTTTGATTATTATCACCTGTTGCTGTCAGGAATACATTCACTGTGGACCACACAGACGACATCACAAGTGACACCTCTCAGGAAGATTATTTTACACAGCAAGATCTGATACCGGTCAGTATAATAATAATAAATGTTATTTTTATAGGGCTTCTCAAGGACTCGCTTTACAATATAAGGGAAGGTTAGGGGGGGGGGTATAGGACTATCAAACTTGATCAACCAGCATGGATTGATGGGGGGTGGGCTATGAGTAGACAAGAGGAGAAGAGATGCGTTTTGAAAAAGGGACTGGAATACTGTGAGGGTCTGAGAATAGCGGAGATCTTTGCATCGATATGTTCAAAACGTTTTTTTTCCTAAATGTAAAAAAAAAATGTCTTAAATTATAAATAGTGAAAATTCTAGTGTGAACCAAAATATAATAATAAATATTATACAAGTGATTTTCCTTAACCAAAAATTGCATAAAAACACATTATTCTAACACGGGCCCTTTTTGACCCACTTATGGAAGAGTGTATCTAAGGGTGAACAGAGGACAACCCCCGTACAAATTAACTATCGACCCCAAATAAGGAAAGGCATTGAAATGAAACCAAACTTCATAAAAGATTAATTAAAATGTCAATGTGTCTGTAGTTTATCTTACCATTGCAACATCATCAAGAATACCCTGAGGGGTGCTGTGTGCCATCACCTGGGGGGGGGGGGGGGGAGCAGAGAAACACATTTCAAGACACACACAAGTACAAATTATATATCAAAATATTCTTAGATTCAATACCTGACATATCTTCAATGCGGACACGTACTTTCAATTAAGCTAAATAATCACAAACCTTTGAGCAGACAAACTCCACCAGCGTCGCCTCCTCCTCTCCGATGTATTCAATAATCTTTTTATTGATCCACGGTTTAATGCGGCGATCCATCAGAGACTGCAGGAAGAAAAACACATTGGAAAATACTGATCATACACTGTCAAAAATAAAATTAGCATCGCATCGATTGCAGTTTTTTTGGCCAAATTGCACTTTCTGTTAAATCTGAAATGCTGATTCCCTTTCCTTCACGGCATTAGAATATAATGGTGTGTTGGTATTATAATTGACAATTAAATAAGTCACTTTTTCCCCAAAGTGCACAAAATGTAAGGAGCTTTTTTCACTCACATTTCAAAAAATAAAAGCACAAAATAAACATCAAAATGAATCCAGTTGAATATAAATGAACTTAAACCAAACTGGTGGAAAATATCTTTATAGGAAGACATATATGTCATTTACATCAAGTCTTTATGTTCTTGTGTGTGGTATTGTGTAACAACATGCTTTTTATGACTGCACGTATTGTATCATTACTTAGTGTGCCATCATAAGAGATACAGAGGTGAAAGGGGGAGATGAAGGGGATGATTGACTGAAATGTATGAAGCCTCGGGAGACGAACCCACATACTTGGCCACCATCAAGACTGTGAAACACCTGAACTTTTGAAAGCACATCCATAACATTCATCTGTTTGCAACTCATATATATATCAATATTCCAATTACTTGTATACAGACTATTCTTGCACTATTTCTATTTTATTTACGTGTTGCACTGTTGGAGGAGCCAACCTGAGATTTTCATTGTCATATCTACCCTGTAGCTATGTACCTATATACAGATGCTATATGACAATAAAAGCCTTGAACCACCACCACTGAGTTTATGTATGCACCATAAACACCAAAGTAAATTCCTTGCATGTGTAACACGACTTGGTTTCTAGTTCTGATTCTGCATTAGTGGAAATCTTTAAGACTTTTAAATACATTTTACTTATTGACTTGTTTACTGCCTTGACCGTATTGTTCTTGTATGGTACTGTTTGGTAAGCGTACTGTTCAATGTATCATAGGTCCAATTTATAGTCGCTTATATATATTATACATTAAAAGTGTTTAGCTTGTATTGTCAAAATGATACTAATACTGTTATGTGTGATGCTTGGAATTTCGCTGTACTCTGTGAAGTGACAATAAAGGACTCTAATCTACTTGACGCTGCATCTCTACCCTAAACGTCTTAATCTAAGAAAGTGTTTACCGAGTCGACCATGGCCCAGTCCAGCGGGTAGGAGAACAGCTCCGGTCTGGCGGTGGGGATTTTCTCGATGAGGCTCTTGATGTGTTTCCGTTTCTCCTCCGTGTTGACGCCGCCTTTGGGCCCCGGCATCTCGGCCCCGTCCAGCCCGAGGCTCTTGTCGTCGTCTCCGTAATCCAGAGGAACCAGTTTCCTTTTGCGCGGCTGCTCGTCCGCCTCCTCCTCGTCAAAACCTGTTGAAAACACTTCCACCGTCGCCACTTCTTCCGCTTCCCCACGTTCGGCTGGCTGGGGCTGCTGGTGGCGCCTGGAGGAGAAACACTACAGTATTAAAGGTCACCTATTATACAAAATCCACTTCTTCATGTCTCTTCTACATCAACATGTGTCCTCTCTTCTACATCAACATGTGTCCCCTCTTCTTCATGTCTCTTCTACATCAACATGTGTCCCCTCTTCTTCATGTCTCTTCTACATCAACATGTGTCCCCCTCTTCTTCACGTCTCTTCTACATCAACATGTGTCCCCTCTTCTTCATGTCTCTTCTACATCAACATGTGTCCCCTCTTCTTCACGTCTCTTCTACATCAACACTGTGTCCCCTCTTCTTCATGTCTCTTCTACATCAACATGTGTCCCCTTCTTCTTCATGTCTCTTCTACATCAACACGTGTCCCCTTCTTCTTCATGTCTCTTCTACATCAACCATGTTCCCCTCTTCTTCATGTCTCTTCTACATCAACATGTGTCCCCTCTTCTTCATGTCTCTTCTACATCAACATGGTGTCCCCTCTTCTTCATGTCTCTTCTACATCAACATTGTCCCCTCTTCTTCATGTCTCTTCTACATCAACATGTTCGTCCCTCTTCTTCATGTCTCTTCTACATCAACATGTGTCCCCTCTTCTTCATGTCTCCTTCTACATCAACATGTGTCCCCCTCTTCTTCATGTCTCTTCTACATCAACATGGGTCCCCTCTTCTTCATGTCTCTTCTACATCAACATGTGTCCCCTCTCATGTCTCTTCTACATCAACATGTGTCCCCTCTTCTAGTCTATCTCATCAACATGTGTCCCCTCTTCTTCATGTCTCTTCTACATCACATGTGTCCCCTCTTCTTCATGTCTCTTCTACATCAACATGTGTTCCCCTCTTCTTCATGTCTCTTCTACATCAACATGTGGTCCCCCTCTTCTTCAATGTCTCTATCTACATCAACATGTGTCCCCTCTTCTTCATGTCTCTTCTACATCAACATGTGTCCCCTCTTCTTCATGTCTCTTCTACATCACATGTGTCCCCTCTTCTTCATGTCTCTTCTACATCAACATGTGTCCCCTCTTCTTCATGTCTCTTCTACATCAACATGTGTCCCCTCTTCTTCATGTCTCTTCTACATCAACATGTGTCCCCTCTTCTTCATGTCTCTTCTACATCAACATGTGTCCCCTCTTCTTCATGTCTCTTCTACATCAACATGTGTCCCCTCTTCTTCATGTCTCTTCTACATCAACATGTGTCCCCTCTTCTTCATGTCTCTTCTACATCAACATGTGGTCCCCCTCTTCTTTCATGTCTCTTCTACATCAACATGGTGTCCCCTCTTCTTCATGTCTCTTCTTACAACAGGTGTCCCTCGTCTCGTTCATAGTCTCTTCTTCAACTCTGACAGGTGTCCCATCTTTCTTCATGTCTCTTCTACATCAACATGTGGCCGCCTCGCTTCTTCATGTCTCCTTCTTACATCAAACCAGGTGTCCCAATCTTCTACAATCAACATGTGTCCCCCCTCTTCTTCATGTCTCTTCTACATCAACATGTGTCCCCTCTTCTTCATGTCTCTCTACATTCAAACAGTGTCCCCTCTTCTTCAATGTCTCTTATACATCAACATTGTCCCCTCTTCTTCATGTCTCTTCTACATCAACATGTGTCCCCTCTTCTTCATGTCTCTTCTTCATCAACATGTGTCCCCTCTTCTTCATGTCTCTTCTACATCAACATGTGTCCCCTCTGTGGAAAGAGACTGAAAGTCTCAGGAACAAAGATTCTCTCTCTTTTTGATCCATTTCTATAAAAACCTGTCTGAAAATGAGTTGATCAGATTTTGACCACTTTATGATGTCATAACGATGTTTAGTCTTGTGTAACCATTAGCCAATCAGCAACCAAGGTAAACCCCACCCCCCCCCCCCCCCCTTATCACCTGAATCTCCTCTAGAGCACCATTGAGTTCTTTGTAACCAAATGTCTCTCAGAGGGGCGTGGGGAGGGGCTCCTTATTTTCATCTAAAGTAACAGACAGAGAATCAGCACTTTGGAAACAGGGCTGAAACAGAGGGGATTATGGGTAATGCTGCAATGATCTGGTTGGTGTTTCAGCCAATCAGAGACAGGCTCTGTAGATATCTGAGACCTATAATATATTGATGAAAACAGTATAATAGGGGACCTTTAAAAGAAAGAAAAAATACATGAATACAAGTTACTGTGTGCCTGCCACTAATGTCAATTTTGTATGTGTATAAAATGTTTAATATTCATATATATTCTTGAATAAAAGGGAAAAAATGAATAATAATAATAATGTTATTTCTGAAACAAAGCCTTTTAAAAACTTGGACATTTTCCACAATTTTCCCGACAAAATCATCCGTCAAGAAAATAATTGCCAAAATGAAATGATGAAAATAACAATAGTTCCAGCCCTAAATGACGGATCGCTTATCATTGCTCAAAGTCGGATACTGGAGAGCGACTTTTGATATATCGTAATAGAGAAAACTAAAAAGGGAGTAAAAATGTGTTTGTCATGCAAAGCAAAAAGAAAAAGACCAAAAACACTTTCTTAAAAAAAAGCATATTTATTATCAGTTCACACAACGGAGCCTCAACAGGACGACAGTAAATCAAAGCAGAGTCCAATGTGTTGCAGAACCAAGTGTGTGTGTGTGTGTGTGTGGGGGGGGGGGGGGGGTAGCAACTGTCTCCTGCCTCAAACAGCATCAACAAAGGAACAAAACACAACCAAAGTTTCATCATGCAGTATGTTTGAGCAATCCCTTTCTGTCCACAGCTGACTCTCCCTTCCAAAGACACACACACACACACACTCTTACACACACACACACACACACACAGATAAGGCTGCTCCTTGCTGATGGGATGGAGGGTGTGATGTGTTTACAGTCTGTGGGCAGCAGATCTGGGATTTAAAAAAGGAAGTCGGACGGAGAGACGAGCGGTCTTTATTTCGCGAGTCCGATCTTCTTCGCCTCCGTTTCGTAAATCAACAGCCTCCACATTTTCACTATGAACACTTCCGCCTCTTCATCCAGAACCTGAAAACACACCAGACAGGTTGGGGACACACACTTTACATCCAACAGCTCAATACATACTTGACATTAATCTGACGTGAAAGTTAAATTGATGACTTAGGAGTAACTGTGTGTGAGGCTGCTTTAACCCTGAGATGCACACGTGGGTCTTTTTGGACCCGGTGAGGTGGTTTTCTTGAAGTATCTTACATTTTTTTATCATTTGATATTCCAGCTATTCCTCAAAAAACATGTTTTGGATATCAGGCCATTCACATTTTAAGAAATTGTAGTTTTTATATTTCTACCCCAAGCTTCCATAAGTGGGTCAAAAATGACCCGCATGCATTTCCTATGGGATCCTCTGGGAACCTTTGATTATTATCACCTGTTGCTGTCAGGAATACATTCACTGTGGACCACACAGACGACATCACAAGTGACACCTCTCAGGAAGATTATTTTACACAGCAAGATCTGATACCGGTCAGTATAATAATAATAAATGTTATTTTTATAGGGCTTCTCAAGGACTCGCTTTACAATATAAGGGAAGGTTAGGGGGGGGGGGTATAGGACTATCAAACTTGATCAACCAGCATGGATTGATGGGGGGTGGGCTATGAGTAGACAAGAGGAGAAGAGATGCGTTTTGAAAAAGGGACTGGAATACTGTGAGGGTCTGAGAATAGCGGAGATCTTTGCATCGATATGTTCAAAACGTTTTTTTTTCTAAATGTAAAAAAAAATGTCTTAAATTATAAATAGTGAAAATTCTAGTGTGAACCAAAATATAATAATAAATATTATACAAGTGATTTTCCTTAACCAAAAATTGCATAAAAACACATTATTCTAACACGGGCCCTTTTTGACCCACTTATGGAAGAGTGTATCTAAGGGTGAACAGAGGACAACCCCCGTACAAATTAACTATCGACCCCAAATAAGGAAAGGCATTGAAATGAAACCAAACTTCATAAAAGATTAATTAAAATGTCAATGTGTCTGTAGTTTATCTTACCATTGCAACATCATCAAGAATACCCTGAGGGGTGCTGTGTGCCATCACCTGGGGGGGGGGGGGGGGGGGGGGGAGCAGAGAAACACATTTCAAGACACACACAAGTACAAATTATATATCAAAATATTCTTAGATTCAATACCTGACATATCTTCAATGCGGACAAGTACTTTCAATTAAGCTAAATAATCACAAACCTTTGAGCAGACAAAACTCCACCAGCGTCGCCTCCTCCTCTCCGATGTATTCAATAATCTTTTTATTGATCCACGGTTTAATGCGGCGATCCATCAGAGACTGCAGGAAGAAAAACACATTGGAAAATACTGATCATACACTGTCAAAAATAAAATTAGCATCGCATCGATTGCAGTTTTTTTGGCCAAATTGCACTTTCTGTTAAATCTGAAATGCTGATTCCCTTTCCTTCACGGCATTAGAATATAATGGTGTGTTGGTATTATAATTGACAATTAAATAAGTCACTTTTTCCCCAAAGTGCACAAAATGTAAGGAGCTTTTTTCACTCACATTTCAAAAAATAAAAGCACAAAATAAACATCAAAATGAATCCAGTTGAATATAAATGAACTTAAACCAAACTGGTGGAAAATATCTTTATAGGAAGACATATATGTCATTTACATCAAGTCTTTATGTTCTTGTGTGTGGTATTGTGTAACATCATGCTTTTTATGACTGCACGTATTGTATCATTACTTAGTGTGCCATCATAAGAGATACAGAGGTGAAAGGGGGAGATGAAGGGGATGAAATGTATGAAGCCTCGGGAGACGAACCCACATACTTGGCCACCATCAAGACTGTGAAACACCTGAACTTTTGAAAGCACATCCATAACATTCATCTGTTTGCAACTCATATATATATCAATATTCCAATTACTTGTATACAGACTATTCTTGCACTATTTCTATTTTATTTACGTTGCACTGTTGGAGGAGCCTGTAACCTGAGATTTTCATTGTCATATCTACCCTGTAGCTATGTACCTATATATACAGATGCTATATGACAATAAAAGCCTTGAACCACCACCACTGAGTTTATGTATGCACCATAAACACCAAAGTAAATTCCTTGCATGTGTAACACGACTTGGTTTCTAGTTCTGATTCTGCATTAGTGGAAATCTTTAAGACTTTTAAATACATTTTACTTATTGACTTGTTTACTGCCTTGACCGTATTGTTCTTGTATGGTAAGCGTACTGTTCAATGTATCATAGGTCCAATTTATAGTCGCTTATATATATATATATTATACATTAAAAGTGTTTAGCTTGTATTGTCAAAATGATACTAATACTGTTATGTGTGATGCTTGGAATTTCGCTGTACTCTGTGAAGTGACAATAAAGGACTCTAATCTACTTGACGCTGCATCTCTACCCTAAACGTCTTAATCTAAGAAAGTGTTTACCGAGTCGACCATGGCCCAGTCCAGCGGGTAGGAGAACAGCTCCGGTCTGGCGGTGGGGATTTTCTCGATGAGGCTCTTGATGTGTTTCCGTTTCTCCTCCGTGTTGACGCCGCCTTTGGGCCCCGGCATCTCGGCCCCGTCCAGCCCGAGGCTCTTGTCGTCGTCTCCGTAATCCAGAGGAACCAGTTTCCTTTTGCGCGGCTGCTCGTCCGCCTCCTCCTCGTCAAACCTGTTGAAAACACTTTCCACCGTCGCCAGCTTCTTCCGCTTCCCCACGTTCGGCTGGCTGGGGCTGCTGGTGGCGCCTGGAGGAGAAACACTACAGTATTAAAGGTCACCTATTATACAAAATCCACTTCTTCATGTCTCCTCTACATCAACATGTGACCCCTCTTCTTCATGTCTCCTCTACATCAACATGTGACCCCTCTTCTTCATGTCTCTTCTACATCAACATGTGTCCCCTCTTCTTCATGTCTCTTCTACATCAACATGTGACCCCCTCTTCTTCATGTCTCTTCTACATCAACATGTGTCCCCTCTTCTTCATGTCTCTTCTACATCAACATGTGACCCCTCTTCTTCATGTCTCCTCTACATCAACATGTGACCCCTCTTCTTCATGTCTCTTCTACATCAACATGTGTCCCCTCTTCTTCATATCTCTTCTACATCAACATGTGACCCCTCTTCTTCATGTCTCTTCTACATCAACATGTGTCCCCTCTTCTTCATGTCTCTTCTACATCAACATGTGTCCCCTCTTCTTCATGTCTCTTCTACATCAACATGTGTCCCCTCTTCTTCATGTCTCTTCTACATCAACATGTGTCCCCTCTTCTCCATGTCTCTTCTACATCAACATGTGTCCCCTCTTCTTCATGTCTCTTCTACATCAACATATGTCCCCTCTTCTTCATGTCTCTTCTACATCAACATGTGTCCCCTCTTCTTCATGTCTCTTCTACATCAACATGTGTCCCCTCTTCTTCATGTCTCTTCTACATCAACATGGTCCCCTCTTCTTCATGTCTCTTCTACATCAACATGTGTCCCCTCTTCCTCATGTCTCTTCTACAGTCAACATGTGTCCCCTCTTCTCATGTCTCTTCTACATCAACATGTGTTCCCCTCTCTTCATGTCTCTTCTACATCAACATGTGTCCCCTCTTCTTCATGTATCTTCTACATCAACATGTGTCCCCTCTTCTTCATGTCTCTTCTCATCAACATGTGTCCCCTCGTTCCTCATGTCTCTTCTACAATCAACAATGTGTCCCCTCTTCTTCATGTCTCTTCTACATCAACACGTGTCCCCTCTTCTTCATGTCTCTTCTACATCAACATGTGTCCCCTCTTCTTCATGTCTCCTCTACATCAACATGTGTCCCCCCGCTTCTTCATGTCTCTTCTACATCAACATGTGTCCCCTCTTCTTCATGTCTATTCTTCATCAAACATGTGTCCCCCCCTCTTCTTCATGTCTCTTCTACATCAACACGTGTCCCCTCTTCTTCATGTCTCTTCCTACATCAACATGTGTCCCCTCTTCTTCATGTCCTCTTTCTACATCAAACATGTGTCCCCTCTTCTTCAGTGTCTTCTTCTATATCAACATGTGTCCCCTCTTCGTCATGTCTCTTCTACATCAACATGTGTCCCCTCTTCTTCATGTCTCTTCTACATCAACATGTGTCCCCTCTTCTTCATGTCTCTTCTACATCAACATGTGTCCCCTCTTCTTCATGTCTCTTCTACATCAACATGTGTCCCCTCTTCTTCATGTCTCTTCTACATCAACATGTGTCCCCTCTTCTCATGTCTCTTCTACATCAACATGTGTCCCCTCTTCTTCATGTCTCTTCTACATCAACATGTGTCCCCTCTTCTTCATGTCTCTTCTACATCAACATGTGTCCCCTCTTCTTCATGTCTCTTCTACATCAACATGTGTCCCCTCTTCTTCATGTCTCTTCTACATCAACATGTGTCCCCTCTTCTCATGTCTCTCTCTACATCAACATGTGTCCCCTCTTCTTCATGTCTCTCTACATCATCACATGTGTCCCCTCTTCTTCATGTCTCTTCTACATCAACATGTGTCCCCTCTTCTTCATGTCTCTCTACATCAACATGTGTCCCCTCTTCTTCATGTCTCTTCTACATCAACATGTGTCCCCCTCTTCTTCATGTCTCTTCTACATCAACATGTGTCCCCTCTTCTTCATGTCTCTTCTACATCAACATGTGTCCCCTCTTCTTCATGTCTCTTCTACATCAACATGTGTCCCCTCTTCTTCATGTCTCTTCTACATCAACATGTGTCCCCTCTTCTTCATGTCTCCTCTACATCAACATGTGTCCCCTCTGTGGAAAGAGACTCTGAAAGTTTCAGGAACAAAGATTCTCTCTCTTTTTGATCCATTTCTATAAAAACCTGTCTGAAAATGAGCTGATCAGATTTTGGCCACTTTGTGATGTCATAACGATGTTTTGTCTTGTGTAACCATTAGCCAATCAGCAACCAAGGTAACCCGCAATATCTGTCAGAAAAATCGCAATTAGATTCCCCCAAATCATGCAGCCCTAGTTTCTACACATTCTCAGCAGGGTTTCAAAGTTGATGTAAACTTTTAAATAATGTACTTCATCTACTACAAGTAGTTTGTTTGAATGTAATAATTATGTTTGTTGAATAATTTATTGAAAAATGAATCTGAATGTTTCGATTATTAACTGAAGCAATATAAAAATGAGCCCCGTGAACTGAGTTTTAAACTGAAGCATATGAGACTCTGCTACATAACTCTTATTAGTGAAATATTTCCAGTAAGTTTCAAATTTGTCCGGTAAAATAAATTCTGCCCGGACATTTGACCGACGAGAAAAAATCCTAGCGGAAACCCTGATTCTCAGATATAATTCATAACCTCATCCTCTTATACCCACTTTACTCTGCTTTCATGCCATCAGTCTTTATTAGCACCCTGAAATGACCCCCCTCTGTACTGAATCCAGAACCACTTTGAATCGTTCTTTGAATCAAATAGTCGATAGATTCCCTCCCCTTATATTACCTCTGTACTGAATCCAGAACCACTTTGAATCGTTCTTTGAATCACATAGTCGATAGATTCCCTCCCCTTATATTACCTCTGTACTCACCCAGTTTGAGACTGAGGCCTATCTTGGGCCGCAGCTCCTCGGGGGGCTGCACCTCCGGAGAGTTTTCCCCCGGGATGATGATGCCGCAGGGGGACTCGTTGCCGGGCGAGTTGGGGGTGGCGTCCCCGCTGCCGGAGGACACAGAGGGCGCCGTGGTGATGGGCCTCATGACGGGTTTAATCTGCAGCGGTTCTTCGGCCTCCTGTGAGTCTTCAGCGTCGGGGAAGTCTTCCTCCATCGCCGCCTCCTCTTCTTCATCCTCATCGTCGTCCGACTGCTGCTGCTGCTGCTGCTGCTGCTGTTGCTGCTGCTGCTGCTGCTGCTGCTGCTGCGGCGGGGGGGGCACGGGGAATCGGCTCTTCTTCTCTTCTTCCAGAGCTTCTCTTCTCCCGGTCACGATCCCGGTCACGGTGAGATTTCTCCCGGTGAACGATGTCCTCCTCCGGTTCGAGTTTGAGAGGCGGCTGCCGTCTGCGCTCGGCCTCCTCCTCCATCTGGAAACATAGACATCGAGAAACGATTATATCATTAGTTTCAAGTTTCAAGGCTTTTATTGTCATTCGTACAGTAGCTACAGTTTAGTTATATAACAGGGTATATGCAGGAATCCTGAAGTCAAATGTAAATCCTTTTAAGACCTTTTTTAAGACCCTTTCCATACATTTTAAGACCTCATCGCCTCTTCGAGTTTTAACCGGTTACATTGGCGACACACTTTACCTCACATTGACTATATACATCAGGGGTGCCCAACCAGTTGATCGCGATCGGGGAGATTCCCAATCGATCGCGAGATGTGTCTAAAAATAGAACAATATTCAGTTTTATCGTTAATGTCCTGTAACATAATCTTCCTGTGCCAGAATAATGCACTTGAACGCATCAAAGCTTTGTGATTGGCCGGCGTGACCCCAGGTGTCGGGGGGTGGCTGGTGGGCAGTGGGCATTATTTCGCTGACGTTGTCCGTGTCAACAGGAGTGACAGTCCGCACACACACAAGACCGCAATTATGGCAGAAGCAAAAAAGCCCAAAATATATCATTTTCACTCCGAGTGGGAGGATGATTATTATTGTATCTATTCCAATTCAAAGTCCATCTGTCTCATCTGCAATGCGAGCGTGGCTTTATCGAAGAAGGGTCATTTAGGAGCGGCATTTCAAAACAGTGCACAAACGCTACGAGACGGAATTCCCTCCTAATTCTGCCCTATGCTCCAAAAGGGGAGGGGCCTGAAAGGACAGCTAAATGCACAGCAGTCCATCTCCACCAGGCCCAACAACAAGAGCAAGGCTGCTACCATAGCATCTTATCGTGTCAGTCACGTTCTTGCGAAACACATGAAGTCTTTCAAAGACGACGAAGTTGTGAAAGAAGCATTCCTGGAGGCTGCCGACGCGCTTTTGGGGGACAGTAAAAATAACAGTAGCATTTCAACAGGTTTTTGACATAATAAAAACTCAAGTTAGATACCATTATTAATCAGCTGTAAGTTTTAGTTTGTTTGAACTTATTCATTATAATTATTGTACAAAATGGTATAAGAATGCAAACTTAAATTGATTATAGTCTATTATCAATTCAGGTTAAGAAACTAGTGTTGCTTGCATCCTATTTTAAAGGCATTTCTTTTTATACTCCAATAAAATGCAACAAAAAAGGGTTTGATTCTATTAATGTTGTCTTTTTTATTGCACTTTGGCAGCAGATTCCTGTGTAGCTTCAGATCTGAGTTGTCTTATTAGTAAGCCTAATTTTAATGGCAAAGAAAGGGTTCAGTGTCTTTTCTTTTTGTCCTGTGTCATATGTGGCAGCACTGTTCAATGTTTCTTGAAAACATTACCCACTGTAGTGACGTGTGAATAAACTCCAACTCTGTATCAACAACACTGTTGTGTAGCTTCAGTTAAATACTTGTATGTATGTAGATTAGAAAGAGGTAAGATAAAGGATCTGCAGTATTTTATGGAGTATTAATCGTACAAAGGTCAGTTTTATACAAGTAGAAGTGTGTATTTACCTGGTAGTAGGCTGTCAGTAATGGCTACGCCTCTCTATTTGGACTGGTAGATCTCGGCAGACTGGCAACTTTAAAAGTAGCTCTCAGTTCAAAAAAGGTTGGGCACCCCTGATATACAGTATTGATTGTCCTTCTTTCTTATCGTCCAACCATTTGGACGCAAACTTGCATTTCCCCATTGTTAGGGAATCATTTGCTTAGGTATTCAACCTTCGACACAGTTCATCATGTTCTCCTCTCACTGTCTCTTTCCCACGGCATAGGTCTACGGCCTTGGGTATTGCTGCTATCTCTCTTAAGGAGGAGCAGCTTGGGCACATTGTTGTTGCCAGTCTATAACGGAGCACAAGCCGCCATAGTTTACTGTTCAGGGACGAAGGTTCTCTGGCACACATTCTTTCCTATGGACGAGAGCTCTAGTTAGATTCAGGGTCCATAATGTTTAGTCTCACTGATGAAGAATGTTGATTATTACACTCCGAACTAGTTAAAACCTCGAGCTGCAGAAGAGTTCTTCAGAATTGGTTTGGCAACCGCTGTGTCAACTCGTGACACACCACATGTCTTGTGAATTCTCCGGCCGAAACTCCAAATAAACCGTCAGTGTTTGCCATCAAAGCTCCAGCTCTCCTCGTGTCTCTCTGAGTCCTGTTTCCAATTGCTACAGAAGTTTCCCCCACACCCATAACGATGTTGTTTAACAACCGGCGTAAACGGACCTTCGCGCTATCAAGCAGTGAGCGCGCGATGTCCTGTTCAGATGACGTCCAATCCAACGGGATGCCATCAATAAACTACACAGAATCACACTACACACCTACGCCATGATTACATTCAGGCACACTGTAGAATACAACCTCTCTGGACCATTCATATACTTATTGAAAACAAGCTACAAAATGTAACACCTTGGAAAATGCCGTTTAATACTTTTTAACAGCCTTCATTTTCGCTAAATTGATTTATCAACTTTTAATACTTTTTAAGACCCCGCAGATACCCTGAATGTCGATGGAAATCTTAGGTCACAGGTGTGGGGGAAACTTCTGAAGCAATGGGAGTCAGGACTCAGAGAGACACGAGGAGAGCTGGAGCTTTGATGGCAAACACTGACGGTTTATTTGGAGCTTCGGCCGGAGAATTCACAAGACATGTCACGGGCCACGAGTTGACCACACGGTTGAGATGCCACAATCAATTCTGAAGAGCCCTCCTGTAGCTCCAGGGTTTAACTAGTTCAGAGTGTAATAATCAACATTCTTCAATAGAGAGACTAAACAGCTGAGGACACTCAATCACTTTTGTTGTCGCTTATGGCTCGGGGTCATCATCTACACCCCGAGAAGGATGCTCCAGGTGTCCCACAACAATAACTATCTCTGACGGAGAGAGGCCCGGTCACAAACTGGTAACAACAACTTGCTAGGGCAGCTCCTCCTTAAGGGAGATAACGGCTGCTCAAGACTGGTCAGCTGCGTCAGAGGGCGAAGGAGGACATGCAGAGCAAATTATTCCCCAACAACAGGCTCCTCCGACAGTGAAACGCAAAAAACCAGATCATTATTGGTGCTCTTTTCATTATGTGTTGCAATAATGAATACCTGTTGACTGGACGCATTTAGGGCTGCGTCATTATGGCAAAACATCATAAAGTATATATTTGTATTAAAAGGTAACGCTTATTTGGTGCCACAGGTCCAGGTTACACGTTAATCGTAAGTGAGAAATATTCTTTATTCAAGATTCAAAGGTTTTAATGTCTTATAAGCTACAGTGTAGAAATGGCAATGAAATTCTTCTGACCTGAGCTCTTCCAACATATATAATAAAATACTAAAATACAAGATAAAAAGTCTATATATACTTAAGCAATAGCTCACGACAGGCCATGGTATATGGTCATTATATCAGAGCTAAGGGGCGTGGTTCGGCCCGACGCGAAGCCCGCTAAGGGGCGTGGTTCGGCCCGACGCGAAGCGCGCTAAGGGGCTTGGTTCGGCCCGACGCGAAGCGCGCTAAGGGGCTTGGTTCGGCCCCTTATATTAGACAGAGAGCGTTGATCCATTATTTGGCTATATATTTACATTAATGTGTATGTTGCCGTTTATTGCGCAGCCACTGAAAAACTGTCCAGCATCAGTAGAATGGCTAACGAGGTTACTTGTATAAGTTGAGGTTGTACTCGGCTGTTGCTTGGCGTGGCGAGAATATTGCTCCACTTTCTCCGGTCCCCGAGATTCGGCTGCCAGTAGCTCTGGAGAGAGCTTTCGCACCTGTGGCCACTAACGGTCATCATGTCTCTGCTTTGTTTTAAGACCCGCATCAGAAAGCTTTTGAATGGTGGTACTTTTCCAGTTGGTACCTGCTCTTCACGTAGCTCTGCATGTCGTCGTTTAGGTGCTTTCTGGAGATAGGCACTGCTCAATCCACTCCTCCATAGTAAGACCCCCCCGGAGGTCGAAGTTAATCTTAAATGTTTCCATCTTAAGCTTTGTAAGTTAGTTTCGTAACGGATGTAATGTAACAGTTGTAGCTTTTTCTCAGACGCGGAGGGATGCTGACTTGTTGTGAAAAGTAACTACAATTCTACCCGTGATATACGCTCATTATATCACAGCTAAGAACCAATCAGATTGCTTGATTTGACTTGTCCGTTTTATAAATGTAAATAGAATATGATGTGTACAATAACAGAATAGGAAATAAAATAATGTAAATTAAGACTAAATTAAATATGACCGAGTCAGTTTAATTTTATAACCCATAAGGCGTGGGCAAAAGCCCGAGTTAGTTTGCGTCGTAAGGTATCTCGGGATCATGGGAGTTGTTGTCTTCCTCCGCATTGTTACTGAAAGGCATGAACGCAGGACTCACCCTCTGCAGCTCAGCCTCAGGGTCGGGGTGACCTTCAGCCAGCAGCCTCTGTCTGATCTCCTCATGCTCCTCCTTCTCCCTCTTCCTGTCTCTATCGTCCAGCTCCGTCTCCTTTTCTCTGTCACGGAGTCTCTTCTGCAGAGCGCTGCCCCTGAGGACGAGAAGCAGAGGTCAAAGAATGAAGACATTACATTTTTGTTTTAGCCGACTGGTTTTCCATTTATTTATTTGTATATTATTTGTTTGCCTGTTTTTGGATGTCTGTCTGTCTTCTGTCTGTGTGGGATTTGGTTTGCCCTGGTGTTAAGCAGTATAAACATTGCTACTCTACCCATTTGTCTATAAAGTGAAGATTTGATATATGCTCTGATAGAATAAATGTATGCTGTTGAAAAAACCCAATAAACAACATTTGAAAAAACCAATGAAGACATATACGTGCAGCTCACGCTTCTAAATAAGCTTTAGGGTATTTACCTGTAGTATTTAGGGTCGTCTCGGTCGTCGTCGTAATCTTCAAGGAACTCTTTCAGCCTTTTGGCTTCTTTCATCTGAATTCAAACACACCAATAGTTATCTTCATACATTCTTTACACATCACGTCGTCAACATCACATTACACTGTTAAACACCCGAACCTCCATAACATTCATCTGTTTGCGACTCGTATATATCAATATTCCAATGCCTTGTATAAACACTATTCATATTCTATTTTATCTGTTGTTTGTGTTGCACTGTTGGAGGAGCCTGTGACCTAAGATCGTCATGACTACACTGTAGCTATGCACACATGACAATAAAAGCCTTGAATCTTGAATAACACATCGTCTGACACCAGCGTTTCCGCCAGGCGGGCGTCTTGCCGTCATTTGACGCCCTTATTCAGCTCATAACGCCCTGAACTCGAGCCGAGGGCGAGAAGATGGAGTTTTTATCGATTGAAATGACGAAAAGGAAAAAGGACATCCCTCTGTTGGAGGGGCAAAGGAGTCCGGTGGGATTCTTGTCGCCACCAGCAAAGCGCGTTCCTGTGACGGAAAGTGTACTGCCGGCGATCCTTGACGACGGGGGTTCTAGTGGAGCATGCGCGTGAACTGCGAGCGCCGGAGCCTCGCAGCGGCCAAACTGAGGCTCCGTGGTAAACTGTGGTAACATGAAGCGCCGTTTAGGAGCCAAAACAGCCGGCTCTTCTTAGTGAGCCGAGCCAAATGATCCGGCTCACAAAAAAGAGCCGGCTCTTCTTATGCCGCATTCCCACTGCAGGACTTCGCGCGGCTTAGTACGGCCTTGTTAGGCCAGGCACACTTTATGCTGCGTTTCCATTACAGTTTAGGAACTGGGGTAGTAACTATAGTAACGCAGTGTAGGCGGAGCCGTGACGCCATCTTCAATGTGAAACACAAAACCAACAGCCGAGCTCACAGCTCCTCATATCTGTTCAGAAACTAGACAAAAGTTAAACAAGTACAACCCACAGACTGTCAGTGTCATGGCGAATACAGTCGCTGGTTTATTTATGTCTGTAGGCCGTTGTTGTTAGTGTGGACGGTCAGAGCATATACTACGTTAGCTTAGCCGATCTCCGTTCAGAAAACACGCATTTTAAAAAGGGTTTTTCGCCTGCCGTCTGTCTGCAGTCTTGTCAAAACATTAATTCATGGTTTTTAGTAACCGGTATCAGTATGTTGTTACTTCGGCACCATTTTGAAACGTGTATTATAATTAAATCACGGTCAAATATGTTCATGTTGTTGTAGTTGCCAGCGATTCTCTCACTAGTTCAGCATACTCAGCCCGGTTGTTGGCCCGGAAAGAACCTCGATTTTGGAGAGCCAGAAAACTGTGAAAAAGTACGGAACTACGCCTAGTGGAAACGCAACCAAAAACGGGCCGGGCACGGCACGCTTAAACCGCGCTGTAGTGGAAATGCGCCATTAGTGAGCCGAGCCAAATGATCCGGCTCACTAAAAAGAGCCGGAATTCCCATCACTAATACGTAGAGAAGTAAAGAGATCGTATCGATAACTTAAGGGACGGCTCAATTCACGGCTCTCGGGGTGGACGCCCTCTCAGCCCTGGTCTGGCGGAAAACACTGTCGGACACTAATGGCTGTAATTATATGCTTGTGATTTGCTGTGGTTTGTATTCATGAATACCATTTCCCGACGCCTCTCGTCCTCGCGCTCCGTCTCTTTGCTGTAGTCGCGGGCCTTCTTCCTCTCCCGGATCTCCCAGTTTTTCAGGCGCTTTAAGAAGAAAGATAACCATCACTGAGTCAGACATAAACAAAGTACAGTCTTTAAATGCATTTCTTTATTTAGCACTTAATTGAACAAAATCTAAATGACAGGAGAGATGATGAACGTACTTCTTGGTAAGCGGCCTCCTTGTCTCGGAGCCTCCTCTCCAGTCTCCTGCGCTCGTAAACGTCCTCCTCGTCTTCTTCACGGTCTCGTTTCTTGTCTTCTCGAGTCCTCTCTCTGCAGAACAGTTAGATTAGTCTTGTACCAGAGCCATTAAAATACATGAATACAAACACTTATAATGCAGCAATAAAAATATTTACTACACTTAGGTCCCAGTTCTCTTGACAAGATACAGGCTTAAGAGGCTCTGTGCCAAACAAGCAAAGATGGCAAAAGTACACACATCCTTTACTCAAGTAGAAGTACAGATACTCGTGTTTAAAAATACTCTGGTAAAAGTAGAAGTACTGACTAAACTTCTTTACTCAAGTCAAAGTAAAGAGGCTTTGAAATGTACTTAAGTAAAAAGTACCCATGACTACCAGCTGTTTTAAAGAGTACCTGACCTCCCTTTATATTAATAGAACAATAATGTCATTGTTAGCTAATGAATGTTTCCATGCTGAACAACGGCAACATGACAACGTTTCCATTGGTCCCTCTTCTTTAGAGAAGACCAGGAAATGATGGATACACGGATCGTGTTCAAATCAATAGGCACGCAATGACTCTAAAGAATAATGATCACGCATCAAACACACATTCAGACTAAAGGAACCAGCTGTTTGGAAAATGAGAGAAGTAGAAGTACAGGTATTTGTGTTCAACATGTAAGAAGTAGAAAGTACAGGTATTTGAGTTCAACATGTAAGAAGTAGAAAGTACAGGTATTTGAGTTCAACATGTAAGAAGTAGAAAGTACAGGTATTTGAGTTCAACATGTAAGAAGTAGAAAGTACAGGTATTTGTGTTCAACATGTAAGAAGTAGAAAGTACAGGTATTTGAGTTCAACATGTAAGAAGTAGAAAGTACAGGTATTTGAGTTCAACATGTAAGAAGTAGAAAGTACAGGTATTTGTGTTCAACATGTAAGAAGTAGAAAAGTACAGGTATTTGTGTTCAACATGTAAGAAGTAGAAAGTACAGGTATTTGGGTTCAACATGTAAGAAGTAGAAAGTACAGGTATTTGTGTTCAACATGTAAGAAGTAGAAAGTACAGGTATTTGTGTTCAACATGTAAGAAGTAGAAAGTACAGGTATTTGTGTTCAACATGTAAGAAGTAGAAAGTACAGGTATTTGAGTTCAACATGTAAGAAGTAGAAAGTACAGGTATTTGTGTTCAACATGTAAGAAGTAGAAAGTAAAGGTATTTGTGTTCAACATGTAAGAAGTAGAAAGTACAGGTATTTGAGTTCAACATGTAAGAAGTAGAAAGTACAGGTATTTGTGTTCAACATGTAAGAAGTAGAAGGTACAGGTATTTGTGTTCAACATGTAAGAAGTAGAAAGTACAGGTATTTGTGTTCAACATGTGAGAAGTAGAAAGTACAGGTATTTGTGTTCAACATGTAAGAAGTAGAAAGTACAGGTATTTGTGTTCAACATGTGAGAAGTAGAAAGTACAGGTATTTGAGTTCAACATGTGAGAAGTAGAAAGTACAGGTATTTGAGTTCAACATGTAAGAAGTAGAAAGTACAGGTATTTGAGTTCAACATGTAAGAAGTAGAAAGTACAGGTATTTGAGTTCAACATGTGAGAAGTAGAAAGTACAGGTATTTGTGTTCAACATGTAAGAAGTAGAAAGTACAGGTATTTGTGTTCAACATGTGAGAAGTAGAAAGTACAGGTATTTGAGTTCAACATGTGAGAAGTAGAAAGTACAGGTATTTGAGTTCAACATGTAAGAAGTAGAAAGTACAGGTATTTGAGTTCAACATGTAAGAAGTAGAAAGTACAGGTATTTGAGTTCAACATGTGAGAAGTAGAAAGTACAGGTATTTGTGTTCAACATGTAAGAAGTAGAAAGTACAGATATTTGTGTTCAACATGTAAGAAGTAGAAAGTACAGGTATGTGGGTTCAACATGTAAGAAGTAGAAAGTACAGGTATTTGTGTTCAATATGTAAGAAGTAGAAAGTACAGGTATTTGTGTTCAACATGTAAGAAGTAGAAAGTACAGGTATTTGAGTTCAACATGTGAGAAGTAGAAAGTACAGGTATTTGGGTTCAACATGTAAGAAGTAGAAAGTACAGGTATTTGTGTTCAACATGTAAGAAGTAGAAAGTACAGGTATTTGTGTTCAACATGTAAGAAGTAGAAAGTACAGGTATTTGGGTTCAACATGTAAGAAGTAGAAAGTACAGGTATTTGAGTTCAACATGTGAGAAGTAGAAAGTACAGGTATTTGAGTTCAACATGTGAGAAGTAGAAAGTACAGGTATTTGAGTTCAACATGTAAGAAGTAGAAAGTACAGGTATTTGAGTTCAACATGTAAGAAGTAAAAGTAAAAAGTCGTCAGAAAAATAAGTAGTGGAGTAAAGTACTGATACCAGAACAATAAGTACAGTAACGAAGTATTTGTACGCCACTACTTCCCCCCTCTGTGAACAAGTACTTTTTTATCAAGTCCCGAAAATATTGTTTGTTTGCAGCTCCACAATAAATTCAGATAATTAGCTTCCTGCTATTTCGACATTGCACCTGTCCAAATCCTAATTGTACAGCTTACTGTTTAAGAAGGCAATGAAGACAAGAAGGTTGGATCTCATCACATATGCATTGATTTCATCACCAGGAACATGACCTCTGACCCTCAGCTCCACTCACCTGGATCTGCTCCGCCCCTCGCTGACGTCTCGACTCCTCTCTCTCTCCCTCGTCCTCTCTCTCTCCTTCGTCCTCTCTCGCTCTCGATCTCTCTCTCTCTCGCGGTCCCGGTCTCTCTCTCGCTCCTTGTCTCTCTCCCTCTCCCTCTCCTTCTCCTTCTCGCGGTCCCGGCGTTCCCTCTCTCTCTCCCGCTCTTTGTCCCTCTCCCTCCTCTCCTTATCGATCTCCATACGCTCCTTCTCCTTCTTTCCTTTTTCCTCCTCCAGCTTCTGCAGGACCGCGACAGGAAGAAAACGGGAAAACAAATGTGTTACTAGATTCTCCATATTTTTAATACATCATAATTAAATACAACAAACATGTTTTTAAAAGCAGGATACTGGAAATAATTCGCCTCCATTGGCCAGACATGCTCACATACTGCCAGGACTCACAGCTGCTCCTCTTGTTTCCTGCAGGAGGTCCGCTGTTTAATGCACACACACTAACTTAAGACCATACATTACAGAGGAACCCTGGAAACAAACACCTAGAGACTTCCATTAAAGGAAGGAGAGGAAGTGAAAACCTGACTGTACATTATTATTACCGTCTAAACAGCTCCATCTTCTATCGCTAGTCATGTGTATTTCATATGATGTGTGATAGTGTCAGTACTGATCCATAGTGATGCTTATTTATTCCTTTTTTTAGATGAATCCTGTGTATGAACAATTCTAAACAAAAAGCTTTATTATTATCATTTTGTATATTTCTTAATATTTGTATAATTATTCTTAAAGGTCACCTATCATGCTATTTTTAGGCAATAGCATGGGTCTCAGATATATACAAATATATAAAAAACATGTCTATGAAGTGTTTTGCTCAAAATACCAAACAGACCATTCTAGCCATGCCTCATATCCCTCTATTTCACTTCCTGTTTCAAAAGTGCTGTTTGGGGATAAAGCTTTAAATTAAAGAGGAGGGGTCTGAGCTCATGCGGGACCCGGCAGCTACTGTCTAAACTAAATACTGCCGTGATGAAACTCCATATCATGGATTATCAAGGATTCTCTCTGAAACAGTTTGGAGCTCAAAGGCTTTCTCTCTTGCCGGTTATACCACAAGGTGAGTTCCTTTTTACTTCCTGCTTCTTCACACACATGCTCTCCAGTACAGGTTAGCTCTGAGAGTTAGCGATGCTAATGTAAACAACGACCATATTACGTCCAAAACAGTCGGGCATTGTTTCTGATAGCAACGTTTCTGATTGGGCCGTCCACATTTCAGATATTACGTCATATCGGACGCAAATCTGGATCAGCTCCGTTGTTCCCCGTTTTTAGAGATTTGGGTACGGAGGAAAAGAGAGAGGGTTTTATTTTCTGACGCTGCGTGAGTTCCCTGACACACCGGGGACATGTTGATGTAGAAAAGACATCAACAAGTGCATTTTGCATGATAGGTCCCCTTTAAGTAATTATTTATTTTATTCTTGATATTTTAGTTTATACTGCATATTGATATACTTATATTATACATTATTCTGCTCAGATGCCTTTCGTTGTCCTTGTAGTTGTTCTGTACTTATGCAATGACAATAACGTTTTATCTCATGTAATACTCAAACACTTTTACCATTAACATTATTGTATTTCTTTGCTACCCCAAAGTGCTGAATGGATCACTTCCTGTCCTGCCTACTCTTTTCTCACATTCTCTCATATGGAGTTTTTTCTTTCTCACATATATAACAGGTCATCCCGTCCTCTGAGATTACGCTCTGATATAACAAGAGGGCCAGTCCAATAAATACAATATATATAGTGGAACACACGTCTACCCACTCTACAAACAAATCAATGCAGGCTTTAAGTGCAGGAAGGTAATGGCTTTGACCGGATGCAGGAAACACACGGGGGTGTAAATATTATGTAATGCTTTTCCACAGATTTGCATTATTCTTTGGGTGTAATTCAAAGTTGTTATTTTCATGCAGGGCTGTACACTTTTAGATTAGATTTTTACACTTGAAGCTTCTTTTGAATGAAGCATTAAATGTTTCTGGTCATATTTTATATATTTTTTTACTTAAACGAATAATCAGATTTAATGAGTTGGTCAATTTGTATTATAATTAATTTCTGTTTATCTATATACACACACAACTTGTCAGTGCATCCCTTTTTGTGCAGAAAACCGTATTTTCTGCATTATTTTAGGGTTAATTGTGAATTTCAGAAATTATTACAATGAAATGTCTCAATAAATGTTGACTTCCAGCACTTTAAAACACTGTTATTTTTAAATGTTTGCATCCCACGAGCCTGAGACAATCCTACGCAGGCACCACTGGAATATAACTCCACAAAAATAAATTGTAAAAAGAATATGAATTTAGCCTCATCTTGATTTTTGACTGTGCAGAAACACAAAGTAAACAAGTCTGCAGCATTTGAGTGTAAATCAAGAACGGTACAGCCTCACTTAAAGTTATATTTATGAGGTCATCCAGTTGATCTAACGTCACACCGCTCTGATCTCACCTCGGGGTGCCAAGTGATTTATAAAAGCCCCGAGATTAACGTGGCAAATGTCCCGATTGAGAGAATTATATAATCAGCTCCCATTTCTTTGTTTTTACATACGAGATGTGCAATGCAACAGTGAGAGCTGCACGTCTCTTTTAACTGTATTAACTTTTATCATCATCATGTGGGCTATGTTGCATAATTGCTATTTAAAAACAGACATATTTAAAACTACAGTACCAGATACCTCTTGTTAAATCAATATCCTCTAACTGATTTTGTTTACGGACATTGTATATGTATTTCTTATTTTTATATACACTTTTTTACTGTTTCTCTACGTTATCTTTTATTGCACATTTAACTCGAATTTCTTATGTTTAGAGAAATATTTAATTTAATCTTATTTTTTCTTGTTTCTGGCGTTTTACCTTCATTTCTTATATACATATTTTTACATTAGTTTTTATTTAAACTGTTACTTACATTTGATATATTTTCACGTTTTATTTACCTGTTAATATAAATAAGTTAAGTTAAATGTCATTGTTACATTTCCCCCAAATAAAATGAACCTGGGAAAAAACAAAAACATTTCTGATTCTCTTCAAAAATCTATTCCCTCCGAGTGAACCTTTGTGGGAAAAGTACTGCGGTGTGAATGCGCCTCTTGACTGAACTCTAAATATCTTGTATTGTGTCTGCTTTCCAACTAGTCATCATAAAGTCATGGTGTTTTCTACAGACCGTTGTGGAGCTACAGGTGTGACTCACAGGGGATGAACTTCAGCTCCTACACATCCTACAGGCTACGTGTGGGAGCAAAACAGGTCATGTGTAAAGTCAGAAATAATCAGGAACCACACGATACCTGTGAAGCATCTAATTACAGCTCGTTCAGCCACATAAACAACAACTGAGACAGATTTCATTTTGACACAAGGATATTAGAGAAACAGTCTTACCTGTAGGAAGTCTTCTGGCATCTCTATGGCCTCTCCAACCCAATAAATAATCATAATAAAAACCTCAACTGTGTGATTTCACAAACGTCTAACACATGGGAGTGCTCAGTGCTGTTGCCATTAAATGATAAAGAAGTAGGAAAGGAAGGATGACGTCTGAACTTCCTTATCGAGTTGTCATTTTAAGGAGCCAAGTCCTGTTTTCATTCTATAACTTACCTCTTGTTCTACAATTCGGTTATTGACTGATTTGTAAGGGCTAGTTTGAGACATACTACGTGAGAACATCAACATTTCAAACACTGACTGAGGCGAGCCGTTTTAAGTTGCATGCAGAAGGTGTTAACGATGTTATATTTCAAACTGTATGTCTGAGACCACCTCATCGTTATGGTTACAAGTTCCCCTTTTATTTGGGATGTGATATCCATCATGCATCTTAACTTTCAACCCCTTGTTCTGTCTACGTGGTTCATTTTCAAATTCCTGCACACGCTTTTCCCCTCTGCAGTAATTTATTTGAAAAGAGCTGCTAAAAAGAGTAATACATACATTATAATATCATTATGTGCAGGAATTGTCTTTTTTCTTATACTTAACCTGCAGTTTTGGCTTGTTTTGATCTTGCAGTGGACTATTCATTCTTTTAAAACATAAGAGCTGATTGTAGGAACCTATTTTATACAGAAGTACAAAATAATAGTAAAATAGTTTAAAGGTCCCCTATTGTACTGTTTTTCATCAATATATCCCAGGTCTCAGATATCTACAGAGCCTGTCTCTGATTGGCTGAAACACCAAACAGATCATTGCAGCATTACCCATAATCCCCTCTGTTTCAGCCCTGTTTCCAAAGTGCTGATTCTCTGTCTGTTACTTTAGATGAAAATAAGGAGCCCCTCCCCACGCCCCTCTGAGAGAGACTTGGTTACAAAGAACCCAATGGTGCTCTAGGAGGAGATTCAGGTGATAAGGGGGAGTGGGGGTTTACCTTGGTTGCTGATTGGCTAATGGTTACACAAGACCAAACATCGTTATGACATCATAAAGTGGCCAAAATCTGATCAGCTCATTTTCAGACAGGTTTTTATAGAAATGGATCAAAAAAGAGAGAGAATCTTTGTTCCTGAAACTTTCAGAGTCTCTTTCCACAGAGGGGACACATGTTGATGTAGAAGAGACATGAAGAAGAGGGGACACATGTTGATGTAGAAGAGACATGAAGAAGAGGGGACACATGTTGATGTAGAAGAGACATGAAGAAGAGGGGGACACATGTTGATGTAGAAGAGACATGAAGAAGAGGGGACACATGTTGATGTAGAAGAGACATGGAGAAGAGGGGACACATGTTGATGTAGAAGAGACATGAAGAAGAGGGGACACATGTTGATGTAGAAGAGACATGAAGAAGAGGGGACACATGTTGATGTAGAGGAGACATGAAGAAGAGGGGACACATGTTGATGTCGAAGAGACATGAAGAAGAGGGGACACATGTTGATGTAGAAGAGACATGAAGAAGAGGGGACACATGTTGATGTAGAAGAGACATGAAGGAGAGGGGACACATGTTGATGTAGAAGAGACATGAAGAAGAGGGGACACATGTTGATGTAGAAGAGACATGAAGAAGAGGGGACACATGTTGATGTAGAAGAGACATGAAGAAGAGGGGACACATGTTGATGTAGAAGAGACGTGAAGAAAAGGGGACACAGTGTTGATGTAGAAGAGACGTGAAGAAGAGGGGACACATGTTGATGGGTAGAAGAGACATTGAAGAAGAGGGGACACATGTAGATGTAGAAGAGACATGAAGAAGAGGGGACACATGGTTGATGTAGAAGAGACATGAAGAAGAGAGGCACATGTTGATGTAGAAGAGACATGAAGAAGAGGGGACACATGTTGATGTAGAAAGAGACATGAAGAAGAGGGGACACATGTTGATGAAGAAGAGACATGAAGAAGAGAGGAACACATGTTGATGTAGAAGAGACATGAAGAAGAGGGGACACATGTTGATGTAGAAGAGACATGAAGAAGAGGGGACACATGTTGATGTAGAAGAGACTACTGGGAAGAGGAGGACACATGTTGATGTAGAAGAGACATGAAGAAGAGGGACACATGTTGATGTAGAAGAGACATGAAGAAGAGAGGACACATGTTGATATGTAGAAGAGACATGGAGAAGAGGGGACAGATGTTGATGTAGAAGAGACATGAAGAAGAGGGGACACATGTTGATGAAGAAGAGACATGAAGAAGAGGATTTTGCATAATAGGTGAGCTTTAAGATAATAGGTCCTTATACAATTCGGGGCACCTATGTAATGTGGGATGCAACTAATGCCAATTATTCTGCAGATTATTTTCTGGACATTGAAAAATGTCAATCCTGGTTTCTGTCCAAGGTTTAAAATCTTAATTTTCAATTTAATATAACACATGGAAAAGCGTAATTGTCGTTATATCCGAGAGGCTAAAACAACCTTTTTCTGATATCTTTGCATAAAAAATGACTTACAGTTATGGCTTTATCGTTGCAGCTCTATCAGTAACAGTGTTTGAAGTTCTGATTTAGTCTCGTCTTCCTTTGTCCCTGCAGCTTCGTCCTCCTCATTAATAACACCACGGTGATCCACTCATATATTCCCTTGTTTACGTAAGTCTAGTGGGGCTGGAGTCACTGAGTCACAGACCAGGAGAAAGAAAAAAAACTGAAATAAATCCACTCACCTTGCATGTCTTCAGACTCCGAGTGCTGTGGACGGGCGCTCCCTGCTTCATAACACTAGATGCTGCAGTTCAAACTCTGCAGTGGTTAGGCTCATACAGGCTGTGCTTGTTCCTCAAACACGTCATTTATCATGTGAGGAACTGCAGAGGTTCACTGAGCTGCCCTGACACCTGTGCACTGCCAGAAATCTGTATGAATCCAGTTTGTTTCCCCAAAAACCCACATTTAAATTAAGTATATTCACAGTGAGCTGAGAGCCAGTTGCCCCTCTGCAGAGCCTCCAGCAGGGGGCGCCCAACATGAGTAGAGAAGAAATGGAGGATCATACTTACATCCTATCCTCAAGCAGAGATTGTGAGATTCATCTTGCTCTAGTCACCCAATGAACACTACCACATTGGTGGGGTTTAATCAATAGATTAGCTTTAGAGGGATTTAACATCGTGTCCATGCACTCTGTGTGAAGTCTGTGCAAAACCTTTAGTCTCAAATCTGAACTATAAAGACCAATATGTACTCTGGTCCAATGTGGAAACACTGACAGATACTAGTTAGAGAAATCAAATAGATAGTATAAAAATATTGGAAAATCTACTACTTTCTGTTCCTTTAATGTTTGAATTTCAGCATCTGAATATAAAACACATTGCTTTTTTACTAGAGTTGACTAACAATAGAGAGGCGAAGTCCCTCCCTTTCCGGGGAGCTCCATGGGACCCTTATTTCAGGAAAAGTATGTATTGAAGTCAATGGAGAGAGAAAGATTATCTTTTGATCCCGTTTGAATCGTGCCACGAGTTACACATATGATGTTTGTCAATTTAAAAGATAATTTTACAAGTAAAAAAAATTAAAATGTCGTAAAACTTAGTCGGTTCCTAAGAGCCAGCATGCGGGACCGGGATTCTGGGATTTGTAGTCTTTCTAGTTGCGTATTTTTCAGTCTCATATTTCAACAGTTTTACGACAAACTGACTTTTTTTTACATGGAAATGATTTTTTTAATTGACAAACTTCATATGTGTAATTCGTGGCACAATTCAAACGGGATCGAAAGATAATCTTTCTCTCTCCATCGACTTCAATACATAATTTTTCCGAAATAAGGTCCCATGGGTTGGAAGTAGATGGGCGGGACTTCGCCTCTCTATGTTATGGAGGAATTGACCCCACAAGTTATCTTAACTGCAGCTCCATAGAGGTGTAGAGGAATTATAAAAGGATTTCATATCTAAAATTAGTGAGTAATAAGAGCAGTTTGATACATTACCTTGTGTGTGTCTCTGAATTTACTGATCTCTCTGGATATCAGGTCTCTCTTGTCGTCCTCCATCTCCATGGCGTTGATATCCTCCTTCCATAAAGGAGAGAAAGACCAGAAAGACAAACTAAGTACTCAAAAGTTAGGGCTGTGCAATTAATCGTATTTTAAATCGCAATTACGATTTTGGCCTGCCACAATTACGAAAACAACATAATCGGAAAAAGCGATTATTTTGGGTGTGACATATTTGATCTAATTTATTTTAGTCTAATTTATCATATTTATAAATGTTTAGTAGTTTGTGGAAGTGCGCTGCAAAATATTTGTTGATCTTGTTTATTGGTATTTATTGTTTTTGACATTATTTATTTAAATGTATTATTTAATTTATTTTTGTATTGGTTTTTCAGTTGAATTATACATTCAGGGTAATCAACAGTTAAAAAGATACTGTTCAAATTATTATTTGATTTAAAGTTCAATAAATGGATGTTTTCAAAGTCAATGAATAATCGTATTTAATAATCGTGATATCAATTATTGACCAAAATAATCGTGATTATGAAAAGTAAATCGAGCAGCCATATCAAAAGTTAACAGAAACAACTGAAATTACTTGGAAGTGTGGCTTGCATTAAACGGCCGATTAATTTTGTCAATACGGACAATCGGTAGATTCTCCATAATTCAATGGTTCAGTTAGTTGGCAGGGTATATGCAGCAAGTCAAATGTAAGACCTTTTTTAAGACCCTTTCCATACATTTTAAGACCTCATCGCCACTTGGAGTTTTAACCGGTTACATTGGCGACACACTTTACCTCACATTGAGGCAGACTGTAGAACACAACCTCTTTGGACCATTTATATACTTATTGAAAACAAGCTAGAAAATGTAATACCTTGGAAAATGCCGTTTAATACTTTTTAATAGCCCTAATTTTCGCTACATTTATTTATCAACTTTTAATACTTTTTAAAAGTATATTTAAATCAGATTCACCCGTGTGGTAAAACAAGTGAGAAGAAATAAGGTATCGAACCCTATTTTTAAGCTGCTATACAGTAAATATTTGTCCATTACATCAATTATTTAGCTTTTAAATACAGTTTAACAGTAAGCTACAAATCATTGCACTATTTTTCTTTTTGTATTTATTTGCAATATTTTTTCTGTTTTATTGTTGGTGGAGCGTGTGACCTAAGATTTTCATCGTCATGACTACACGGTAGCTATGTACGCATGACTAATAAAAGCCTTGAGCCTTCTTAATTAAAACCTACCTCCTCCTTCTTCTCCTTCCTCTTCTTGTTGCGCGGCTGGCTGTCGGGGTCCTGTGACGGAGCGTTCAGCTCGCTGGCGTACTCTCGGGTCAGGATTTCTATCGCTCCCTTCACCACCTGGTCCCGGTGCAGAGTCTCTTCATCCAGGACCTCCTCGTCATCGCCATCGTCGTCCCCGTTCTTTGACCCAACACCTGCGCCCTGAGAGACAAAACCAGAAAATTACAAACTTATAACCCCAACTTAACATAAATGAATAATTATATTTTAATCTGCAGCTTTAAAGAAGACATCATTCGGTCAATGAGAGGAAGAAAGAAAGACTCTGTATTATGAGAAACTACCTAAAATATTGATATAGCATTTAAAAAAAATGATAAACTTAATATTCTTAAAGGTCCCATGTCATGCTTGTCTGGTTCTTACCCGTCCTCTTGTGTGTTATGTAGCTTTTTCTGCATGTAACGGTCTGCAGAGTCACAAACCCTCAAAGTACACCCTGTAGCGAGTAAAACTCTAACACAGAGAAGACCTGTCTGTGCTGCCCCAGAACGCCTCGGTGGACATTTCTCTCTTTCCATTTGTTTCTTGCTGTGTGTGTGTGTGTGTGTGTGTGTGTGTGTGTGTGTGTGTGCTCAGGCTGAGCTCCGCGGTGTCTCGCAGACCCCACGCAGCAACCAGGAAACGACACCAGTAATCCAGCTCACACTGTCCGCTCCTCGAGTCTCAAAGGGCGGAGCAACGTCCCGCCAACTCGGCACCCAGACCCCATTCTCATCTGTTTGTCATTACTGGTGTCATTTCCTGGTTGCTAACTAACGCCATTGTAAAACATAATCACTGATGTTCCTCTGTAACGGTGGTGGACTCATCAGAACAGAGTGGGCGAGCTGACCAATCAGAGCACAGTGGGCTCATAAGGGGGGTTTAAACTATTTTTTTATTTAGTTTTAGTCCTGTGTTAAATTTCCTTTTTGGTTTTAGTCACCTTCATCCTGTTTTTATTTAGTCAAGTTTTAGTCGACTAAAAGTCTGAGCATTTTAGTCTTATTTTAGTCAAAGAAAACTAATTATTTTAGTCTACTTTTTGTCAATGAAAACTGTTGAGTCTTTTTTAGTCATCAGCTTATATCAAACATTTCAGTCAAACTAGTCTAACCAAAACCAATCATTTGTCATTTTAGTCACATTTATTTCACAATAAGATTATATCTTGTCCTTATTTGATGAAAAACAGGTTGAATGATTAAGAAGCTTTGCAGAGAGTATCAGGTTTGTGGTGTTTTGGCCACATTGCTTCCCTTCTGATAAAACAATGCATTCCCTTTGTCTCTCCGCCTCATTGTAGCGAAAATGGGCCCAAATATCACATCGTTTCTTTCTCCCAAGCAGTGGTGGCGTTAGACTTTTTCGTTGTTACTCATTTTGACGGACAGGATCGTAACATTTCAGTCATAATCCATTATTACCCGTCGAGTCTGTACACAACTCATCACTCACTAAGAGATCCTTTTACTTAGGACTTAGGACTCTTAGTATCTCCTTATCTTAACTAACTGTCTCATTAGAAAGAAGGAAATATAGTTTTTTTGCAGTTAATCTTATTTATGTGAACATTTCACATTCACATAAGCAGACGTACCCAATCTAAAGTACATTTCTACCAATAACTGAATCCATATGGCACCAAAACAAAGGCAAGCGTTAAATAAGAAGGTAATAAAACCTAATGTTTGAAATTGAATATTTAAAGGACCAATGATATCAGCTCTTGTTAATATTCCTTTAGATTGTTTTTCCTATACATGTACCCCAGCTAAGCACCGTTTAGTGTGCACTTGATGTCGATGGTTCTTGGATAAAGACATGAGGAAAAGTAAACCCTCATCAGGCGCAGAGCGTACCCCGTTGGCGCTCCTCTTCTTGGCCTTCCACTCCTCCAGCTGGCTCTTGGTTTTGGCGTCGACCTTCACGAGCAGCTTCTTGTCTCCTAACATCAGCTCGTGAAGAAGTCTGAGCGCTCGCAGCGTGGACTCCGGCTCCTTGTACTCACAGAACCCAAACGCTTCAGGAGAGGAGAGCAGAGAGACGATGGTTAACAGAAACAAACCTGATATCTTTCAATATTTGCAGGGAAAAATATGAAATCTAACAAAGAATGATGATTTTTCAGAAAATGTGTGCAAAGAAATACCTATTTATATTCACTGCTGAAAATAACAGTTGGTAGGTCCATCACTGTCTTGTTAATCAGTCAATTCTAAAATCCAATTTTACTATAGAGAGGCGAAGTCCCTCCCTTTCCGGGGGAGCTCCATGGGACCTCATTTCAGAAAAAGTATGCATTGAAGTCAATGGAGAGAGAAAGATTATCTTTCGATCCCGTTTGAATTGTGCCACGAATTACACATATGATGTTTGTCAATTTAAAAGATAATTTTGAAGTCAACATTTTTTTAAATGTGTCGTAAAACTGTGAAGTAACACTTTTTTTTGTGTGAAACCGCTCAATGAACTACAACTCCTAGGGAGGCGTGTGGTGCAGTGGACTAGTGCGTTGGTGTTCGGATCTGGGAGCACAGGTTCAAACCCCACTGCAGTCAGCATGTCCCCAAATTGCTCCTGTGGGGATTGCCCACAGTATTGAGTATGTAAGTCGTTTTGGATAAAAGCGTCTAACAAGTGACATGTAACTACATCTCCCGTCTCGCACCACACACCAAGACGGCCGTCACGTTGGCACATTTCACCTCTTTCTTTCAGAATGAGGCGGAAAGTATTAAAAGAGGTGAAAATCACTCCAAGTCTGGGCGTGTTGAGAGCTGTACATACACACAAGGGGAGTTAGTATATAAATACGCAACTAGAAAGACTACAAATCCCAGAAGCCCGGTCCCGCATGCTGGCTCTTACGGAACCGGGCTTCTGGGATTTGTAGTCTTTCTAGTTGCGTATTTTTCATAATCTTATATTTCAACAGTTTTACGACAAACTGTGACTTTTTTGACTTGGAAATTATTTGTTAAGATTGACAAACATCATATGTGTAATTCGTAGCACAATTCAAACGGGATCGAAAGATAATCTTTCTCTCCCCATTGACTTCAATACATAAGGTCCCATGGGTCGGAAGTAGATGGGCGGGACTTCGCCTCTCTATGTCATTAGTGATCGTCAGTGTCACTTCCATTAGGAAATAATTGCCTATTAAGAGACGGGGGCTGCCCTCACTGACAGTGCTTGTCTCAGCTCTCAGACAATTCTGCCTGTGGGTCTGTTTCAGTGGTTGATTCAGGCAAACCTTTGCAGTAAGGGCGTGTATTAGCTTCAATAATGGCTGGGTTATTTAAAAAAAACCTCAACCCATCTCTTCTATTACTTTGAGGGATAAGCATATTTCAAAATGGTCTAATAAATAGGCTATTTTCTTCTATATAACTGCCATCGCATTGTCTTGCAACAGCTTGGCTTTTTTGGGAAAATAATGCGTTGTGTTTCCTACCTTGAAGTTTCCCAGAGGCACCTTGCACCCTTTTCCAGCTCAGAACAATACCACATTTCTATATTGAAAGAGAAGAGGGAAACAAAGGATTAAAGCTTCAGTGCTAGGAAAGGTTGCAGTATTTCTGATTCATTTGTTCCGGGGTTATGTCGTGACGAGTAGGGCTGCAACGCTGTGAGGTTTTAACGATATGATAAGAGTATCAGAAAAGACCACAGTATGAGTACCACCCTTGAGACAAGTTATGACCAGTTATGCTCAAAACCTGTTATGCTGGGATTGTTCAAGTGACTTTCTGTCAAATCGATTAGCTCCGACACAAGATGCTGCATCACTCGATGTGTATAAACTGCCTGTCGCCTGAAACTCGAACCTATGCAATTAACTGTAACCGTTTGAACATTCCTAGGATATTTACTGCTTTAAAAAATGTCTTCAATAAAAGGGTGGGGTAGGTACACTTACCGCAAGCAGCTGTCTGACCAACATGTCAGAAGCCTTTTCAGAGATGTTCCCCACGAACACGGTGGTGGTCGGGCCGCCGTTGTCGTCCGAGGCTCTAATGATCGGGTCCTTCTTTATGAGCATCGGCTTATGGGTTATAGACACTGAGGTCGGGATGAGAACCTGCAACATCACAAAACAGGTGTTACTGTAATCCAGCGCAACAACAAAGGCATGTCACAAAAAGTGCTCAAATGACTATAATTAGATTACAAATGTCTCTGTAGAGTGGTGAAGTGACGAGTCCTAAAACCCGGAAGTGAGTTAGCATTTCACCACTACTGGTTCCCTCGTCTCAGAGCCAGTGGGATTTTTGAACTAGTTTTTGGAAAATAGCTGGAAATCAGGTCTGTGGTTGAGACACATTGAAGACACGGATCACGTTTTGTTCTTTGGGTGATTTCTGAAGAGTTTCCGTGTCTGAAAAACGATGGTTGTTACCAAGTGGCTGAATAGGACTACAGAAGTTGGAGGTCGTTGTACGCCATTACGCCGAACACGTAAACACCTCTAAGTTTGATTGCCCTGTTCTGCTTGAAAGCAAGTCCCTGCCTCCTACAGACTGTTCAAACAAACGCTTCAACTCGTACAACTTTGAATCTGTATGTTTGAATATGGATCTTAAAGGTAGGGTAGGTAAGAACGGAGAAACCAGCTCGAGTGCGCTAGAATTTGAAAATACACAACCGGAAAGAATCTGCCCCTTCCTTCAGACTTCCTCACAGAGCCCCTCCTCCAACACACACGAACATGACCAATGAGGGCACGAGATAAGTTTGTGCACAGATGGAAGGCTGACAGGCAGGTAGGCCATCCAGTTACTTTAGCCGGCTCAGATGATTGGTCGAGCTTTTTACAGCGCCACGGCTTCCAGATGAAATATTTTAATGTATTTATTGTATTACTGTTTGTATTTATAACAAAAAGTGTTTCTGAAGTGAATTACCTACCCCACCTTTAAGTTGGCGTGACGTTGAAGTCGTGCTGCTGTACTCGGCTGCAGTTAGTTTATAGCATAACGTTAGCATTTTGCTTCGGGCGGTTAGATTTATGATTCGAAAATTATATAAGTAGGGTAGACGTGTGGATTTGATCCGGCTGAACAAAACGTGCATTTATCAAACCGGTTGGTTTTCCACACATCTTATTTTTTTTATTCCAAAATCCTAAGGAGAAATCCCGTTGCTTTTTTGTCGAGGGAACCCTTGTGCAGCTTACTTCCGGGTCGGCCTACAAAAAGACGTCATCACTGCACCGCTCTGTTGAGCAGCAGAATATCAAACCGATTCAAGAGTGACAGTAAGTAAGGATCAGTCAGGTTTAATAGAACAGCCGATGCTTTAAATCACACACAGTAAGAACTGCTTCCAACTCACTGAGGGTGTGGGGGTCAAAACGCCCATATGAACCGGGATCATGGGAGTACCTGGGAATAAACACAAGATACAATAAACAAACCATGTAGTGAGGAATATAACTTCACACAATTCTATGTTTTGTTGTGTGAGATTACCCAAGCAGTAAAGCAGTAAAGTTTACAAAGAAATGTTGGTAACTCTCTTTCTATTTGCAAACATTTTTGAGCAAGAAAATCCAGATGGTAAATACAAGGAGATCATGTAAAGGATTAAAACAAACACAAACTACTTTAAACTGTTATATACTACAGAGTTACTTACAGATTATTAGTTTGTCAAACTAAGAAGGCAGTCAGTAATTATAATTGTATATATATATATATGGGTATATATTGCACATTGGTGTTATTGACAAACAGTGGTTTCTCAGTCTTTGTTTGTTTTGTTGTTGTTTGTGTTGTTGTACAGCCTGACTGATACAGGAAGAAAGGATCTTTTATGCATAACAAGTACTTTTGGATTATTTTGAAGGCAATTATTTTGTAGTTAAATAAGATTGTCAATGCAGGACTTTGACTTGTCACATAGCATATTTACAATCTGTTATTACTGCTTTGACTCCAACATATGGGCACTTGTTCTGATATGAAGCCAACAGTAACGTACCTGGGGGGACAGTCTGTGCAAACCCCGCATACTGAGGAGGAGGGATCCGGGGGGGTAACTGCGGGATGCCGATCTGCTGGCGGTTCATAGGAGGAGGGTATGACATCCTGAAAGAAATCAACAAATCAGAAACACTTGTAATACACAGAAAGCTATCAGGAACAGAGGATGATCAGCTGAAAACCAGAGAAACAGTGTTCCTCAGAGGCTAACCTGGGCTATGTCATGTTAATCATAATATTACACTTTACTTTAACTATATATATGTTAGCTGACGTCTCAAACTAACCAGTTACTACCTGTTTAGTAAAAAAAAAGTGCAATTCCTTCACGTTAACTAGCATCATTAGCTAAAGCTAGCTAGCTGTGGCCTTGCTAGCTCTGTTAGCTTCAGCGGTCATGTGAGGATTCACTCACCTGCTGCTAACACGTGTGGAATAAAACCCAGCGGCTAGTAACACTGTGGGATATCCGGATAAAAGCCCATTAAATACGGTTAACGGGAAAACGTAACGCGTAAGATGAGCGTTTCTATTTCGCTGCAGGAGCCCCAATGGATACAAATAAGAGGGACCCTTTCTGTTCGCAATGGATTGTGGGAAAGCAGAGATAGAGTTTGTTTTTATTGCCCTAAATTCAGACTGTCAGGCAAATCCTATTTTTTTTTTTTTATAAAACCAAACAAATAACCACACAGAACAGATGTAGACATCATGTTTGGTTTAATTTTGTCTGAGTCAATTTGGCTTAATGAGGCTATCGGTGTCATTAACAAGCCCCCACTGACAGACGGTTATCCAGATGTGTAAAGTAACTAAGTACATTTACTCAAGTAGCCTACTGAATTTAACCCATAAGGAGCCACCGTGCCACGGGTGTCACACGGGTGTCACATTACATTGCATTTAGCTGACGCTTTTATCCAAAGCGACTTACAATAAGTAATTGAACTTACATGAACACATGAACTTTAAATGTTCTGGACAGTTTCTTATACGGCTTTAGCCTTTATTTTTATCTCATGAAGTCGCTAAGTGACACACACTGAACAGTCTGGTGGGTCATGGTCCAGGACATGTGATTTTGTGTTCCCGGACATGTGATTTTGTGTTCCCATAACAACATGTCCAAGATGTCCATGTGCCAGGCTAACACATGTGACATAACGAGCTACATTTCAAAAGCTTTTGTTGTTGTTGCTAAAGGTAAAATTCAAGCCATTTAAGAGTTAAAATGCTTACATAACATGTCCTTTATTACATTTAACCTGTTGTGGACACATGTTTTGATCAAATTGATATGAAACAAATGAGACAAACATCGCTGTGACACTGATCGGGACTTTAACCCTAAACTTTCACAGTAAACCCAAAGTGACATATATGCACAATTAGAAATATGATTATGATCTGCTCAGTTAATTTAGCTGATTCAATTATATTGAGTTAATATGTTCTTTATTCTTCAATTCAAAGAATGTTCAAACTAATTTAAACCAACAAATCATCCTCATTAATTAAGTTAAAAATAAGAGTTATTTTACCATTAAAGCCCAATGTGACATATATGTCACATTTCAGATATTTGACACTAGGGGGGGTTTCTTGTCAGAAATGTGTTCTACTGTAGGTGGTCTATTTAGTCTAAATTATGTTCCCCTTAATTTCCCCAAAAGTAGAAATGTGTCCGGGTTCTTATGGGTTAAGTACCATTTTGAGATAGGCCTACTTGTACTTTACTTCAGCCTTTGAATGTCATGCTACTTGTACTTCTCCTCCACTACAGCTCAGAGGTAAATGGTGTACTTTTACTCCACTACATGTATTTAATACCTTTAGTTACTTTACAGATGTGGATGAATGATGTGAAATATAATGAACACTGAAATCAGACTTTAGTTCCACCTGGAGTAAATTCACAAGCTACAGTATACAAAGTCATTCAAACTAGTTGCACCTTTACCAGCTTTGATAACACTTTAATAATCAATCATTATAAAACATATTATATATATTATTCTGAAATGGACCAATCTGCACAATGACTACTTTTACTTTTGGTACTTTAAGGATATTTTGATTCTAAAGTGCAATACTTGAGTAAATGTACTTAGTTACTTTACATGTACATGTAACTCAGAGATTCTCCACTTCTCAAACGCTGGGTGGCGCCAGATGCATTCATTTTATTTTCGTAGGTGGAGACATCTTGGCCGTCCTTTGATTTACCGATGTGTACATTACTGTAACTGTCGGTCGTTTTGCGCCAATCAGCGGTCGGGAAGATTATGACGTCAGGAGACAAACACTTGTTGGGGTGTGTTCGTTGTCGCTTAGTAACCACCGGAAGTTCAGTCGGTTAACGACTACTTTGTTTTATGTTAAGTGTTAAATAAACGTTATTATGGAAGCCTATTTCCGCCACTTAAAAAAATTAAAATCCCCATGAAAAGTCATAATTATGAGATAAAAAAGTCGAAATTATGAGATAAAAAGTCATAATTATGAGATAAGAAAGTCGAAATTATGAGATAAAAAGTCATAATTATAAGATAATAATTGCGCATGCGCTGCAGTGGCGCTGCCTTCAAAGGTCCCTTCATCACCTTGCTGCTCTCCACCATGCAAACGGCATCTAGTCCTAAATAAGGTAACTATTACAGGTGACTTTTGTAAATGTTAGATGTTACATATAGCCTATATTGCAGCTAAACTACAACAATGCAGTTCATAGCTTTGACATTACCTGTTATGAACTATATATGCCTATAGTTAGTTTTGTGGTAACGTTCATGCCATATGGGCTCAGAACAGTCTCATAATACACACATGCACACAGAAGGATTCACACTTGTATTTCATGATCCACAAAAGGATTCAAACTTGTATTTCATGATCCGCAAAAGGATTCAAACTTGTATTTCATGATCCGCAAAAGGATTCAAACTTGTATTTCATGATCCGCAAAAGGATTCAAACTTGTATTTCATGATCCGCAAAAGGATTCAAACTTGTATTTCCGGATCCACACTTGTGTTTTTCAATGCACACACAAATGTGTTCCGTTTCATATACATGTAAATAAAATCCAAATACAGAAAAAAGTTTTACATATGTATTTTTGATCCACACATATTTGTTTTCCGTTTAAAACCGCTGCACCTGCAAACCGTGCATTCGTGTGTGGGTTTTTTGAGACTTCCCTGACGGTCAGCCGATTCGTACTTGTAATTTTTTCTATCTATAGCCAATCAGATGTCTCCTCAATTCTAAGCCAATCACATGAGCGCGCCCCCACGAGGGTAGATTTCTATGCCACGAGGCATACTGCTGCTGTGAGTTGCTAGCCTAACTAACCCGTAAATGTTATCTCAGCTACGGTACACCACTAATTATAGTAGCCTGCAGTACATGTAACGCAGTGATTAAAAAGTCATGCGTTAATTGTACATTGCACTGTCGTTTTTTATCGCTTTTCAGTTTGCTAATCTGGGGGAAATGCTAATGCCATAGCGATTATTCAGTAACATCACCAAACCGAAGTGGTACAGTCAGATAGCATGGATAGCATTCATTATGCATGTGTTGAACTTTCCTGTCGGCTCCCAGACCGTAGTCGAGGAAACAGGGGATTACTCTGTGGTCTCCCAGGGCCGAAGCAACAAGCTTCAGGTTCAATAATATCGAAATAACTGGAGAGAGGCGAGCTCTTCTTTGGAGGCCGTTGCATTTGTTTAGTTCTTCTTGTTACACAAAAAGGTGCAAAAAATCAAGTAAAGTAGCCAGTGATGATCTTCGGGTCTTTGTTTGTTTTGTAAACTTCAAGCCATATCATCTTTCTGGAAAACCCGTCAATGCATCCACTGATTGCAATTCCAAATGGCTTAAACTTGTCTTAACCATCAATGTGCCATACATAGTTTGGACCACAGCTGATGCGCCTTCGCAGTCTGCTTTTTATCTCATTATTTCGACTTTCTTATCTCATAATTATGACTTTTCATCTCATTATTATGACTTTATCTCGTAATTTCATGGGGATTTTATTTTTTTCAAGTGGCGGAAATGGGCTTCCATACTTCCATACATTATCTTAATGTTTATTTCGTTTTTTATAATCACTAATAACACATATGTATTCCCTTTTTCTTCTGCCTTAAAAAATGTATTAAAAATATAAATAAGTTTCTTTGTGTATACTTTAGGTATTGATCCCCATTGTTTACAGGAGTAGCAGGTTAGCAAGGCATTACACGATAAATAAACACATATAACACATAATAAACTGTTGATATATACACATCAAAAGTACAAATATGCAAAATATATAAATAATGTAAAATATACAGAATACACTATAACCAACCTACTACTGTTAAAACACGAAATACGATTTTTGTAATTACAATTGAAATTCAATTAGGTAGAGAGTACACTATACAGATTGTTCAGGGTTATACACAACCGAGTGGTTAGAACAAAACAAAATCCTACTTACACATCAGTGCATCAATTATAATAATCATATGTATTCAAATATTTTTGCATAATATACTTTCCCTTTTGATAAGAAGCTAAATCCTGCTCACAGTAATTGTAATTTATTATTTATAGAGGTTGTTTCTACATGCTGGTTTATGTAACAGGATTGAAATACTTATTTCTCCTCGGAGGAAAAGGACCCAGACACCTGTCACATAGGGGTAATTTAGTCTATGGAAAGTTGGGTCTTGTTCTTGACCTGAATACCTTTTTGTTTTGGCGTGCCTGGCACCAGTGAGGGTCAAAAGCTAAAAGGTAAACAAGCCTCTAAATCCCATCGGCTGCGTCGCTGGAAATTTCCACAGCGATGACACTGCAGGATATGCGCGTCACACCAAACCTGTTACGAAAAAAAAACCCACCTGACTCTCAACGGCACACAGGGCACGCCCCCTTTCAGCGCACCCACTCATTTCCCAGCTTCCTATTGGCTGCTCCGAAGGTGTGCACTCAAACTGACGTCACTAGCTGCATATGGAACAGCATTGTTCGTCCGGTAATAATAGTTTATTGCATGTTATAAACGCTAATCATCGCTGACATTCTCAAAATAATCACACAGTAAGTACCAAGTGCGAGAAAAAAGGAATGTGTGATGATAAGATGTTATTCTTAGGCCTCCTTTTCCCCAGCTCATGAATATTAAGTAGCTTTAGGTGCAATAAGACCGGCCTCCTGCAGCAGCGCGAACTCATTCAGCATCCAGCAGCCAAGAGCAACTTCTCACTCAGGTTTAATCAGACAACGATCCGATTGGTTAGGACTGGACGATTCAGATTATTTAAAAACTAAAACATGGCTTTGAGAGGACCTTTATTCCGTCTTCTCAGACCTCAACTTGGCCAAACGTGCCAACAAAGCAGAGCTCAATCCGTCGCTGTGCTTGGAGCTCCTTTCTCAAGAGGACAGGTAAGAAAATCCTACTTTCATTTTCAGTTTTTCAATCTTCATTTTCAGATCAACTTTACTCACTTAAATCCTTCCTGTTTTTCAATTTAAATCAGAAAAGGAGAGGCGTGGAGCACGGCCCTAAAGCCATCAGAGATGCGGG